GCCTGAATAGATAGTTAAAGAAAAGCCGGGTAATCATTTAGTGGAACAGCATGAATAGACAGTTAGAGAAAAGACCGGTAATCATTTATCGAAGACGATTGTAAAAATATGTGCAAATATTGTAAATATAGAAATATTCCGAAACATGTGTACTTAAAACACACACCCTCAACACACATGCGCACACTGAACACACGCACAGTCATTACCTACTGAAAACGATGAAAATTGACAATTTTCATCTTATTTTCCTTAAGAATGTAATTCTACCCTAAGAACAACAACTCCTTTTCCTTAATTCTGAAATCTACTAATTTGAGTAACTAATTATGTAATTTTACCCCTAAAAACTATGTCTTCCTTCTAATAATTTTTTAATATTTAAAAATTGTATCTTTGAATTACTAATTCTGTATTTTTACCTCTAAATGTTCAAACTCCTCTTTATTAAATTTTCATTTGTATTTAAAATTTTATCACATGTCTACTAGCCAAGAAGAAAATAAAAAGTGAAATATTTGAAAGAGAATTTCGATTCAGTAAATTTTTGGTTTAGTCATTTCACTATTCAAAGAGAATAATGCAACATTGGAACGTACACACAACAAAAAGTACGTTTTTGTAACAACTTCCAATTTAACTAGTTTATCTAAGGTTTGATGGTACTACTTCACATCTCTGGTACTACTTTACACCTCGTGCTACATCTGTGTGAAGAGAGTTCTTTATAACAAAAATTTTTTATGTATAATATATTCATTCTCACTAAATTATATTTCTATAATGAGCTTAGATAAACTAATTGAAGATCAGAAAATTATTAAAATACACGAACACTTTAAAACTAATACAAAATTCCATCTAACTAAAGGAATATTTGAGTATGTTATAATTAGTGACTTTTCTGACATTGAAAACATTATGAGAATAATTATCCAGAATTGTATAGAAAAAACAATTGGAGAAGGTATTAAAAACGAAATTGAGCCTGATAGTTTAGGTTGTATTGTGAGTTGCGATCTATTTTATGATGATGTATGTAGTCCAATATGTGAAATGTCTAATAATAATACTTTGGACGACATTCTATATAGAATCATAAGAAAAGCGTATTTAGTGAGGGGTGAACCTTTTACTGTGAAAGTCACAGGAGTAAATGTGAAGGGTCTTCCTAAAAGAACATCCCTTAACAATGTGTAATATATCTATCAAATATTAAAATTAATGATTATTCTTGTGTTTCAATTTACATAAGACATTAATAAGGCATCTAGAAGGAATCAATAGTATTGTTGTTGCTAGGCTTCAAACAATAATCGAAAAGAAATATTTTCTATGTTATCAAGTCTTCACAATAAGTAATAACTTCTTGTCGACAACACATCCTTAACACACCCACACGCCACTCACTCGCAACACACCCCTCTACATATGCACGCCCTCGCATGCACACTCAAAAAGATGAAAATTGATAAATTTTATCTTCGTTTTCTTAATTTTGTAATTTTTCCCCTAAAAAGAACACCTCCTTTTATAAAATTCTGAAATTTACTACTTTGTCTCACTAATTCTGTAAAATTACCTCTAAAAACTATGTCTTTCTTTTCTTAATTTTTTAATATTTTTTTTAAATTGTATCTTTGTTTTACTAATTATGCATTTTTACCCCTAAAACTTGTGACTCCTATTGAATAATTTTTGCAAATTGTATCTTTAAAATTTTATCACGAATAAAATTAATACAATAATATTGTGAAAATTATTTATTAAGAATATGTAAAATTTTTATTGAAAATAGATAAGAATAAAGAAATAGAAAAGATAAGAGTGTGGCTTCGCCATTTGACAGGCATGCCCAAACTCAACCAGGGAAGTGAGAATTTACTCAAGTCCGCTACCACCGATTTTACATGTGAGGATTACCTCACAACATTCGATAGTTGGTATAGAGTCTGGGTGCCCATACCCCTGGCTACTTTCCAACTCATGAAGAAATTACAACAAGATAATTAATTATTAATGTGACCAAAATTTAATACAACAAAATCGGAAGGGCGAACAATGCCTTTTCCGACATATGGCTTATAAATTTTAGAAAGAGGTTGAGTAATTATAGAACCATCTTTAATAGATGGTTTAAGAAAATTTGGATAATTAATCATTATTGGTTCATATTCATCTTTTGTAAAATCAAAAACTTGCTTCTTGAAGTTTTCATAGCACAATCCTTGGTTGTTGATCACATCCCAGTTGAGAGTCATTCCACGGACTTTGAGAACATAGTCAGTTGAGTTGAGTGTAGCGGCCTTCTTTTGAATTTTCAAACCATATTGTTTTGCACCTCCAGAGCAATATTCCAAGATGTTGAAATCGGGGTACTCATCAGTAAACTGTCCCAGATGAGGCCCTAATTGAAGAGGACAATTGTTGTCTGGGTGTTTGAAGATTAATGAGTCGGTGTCAGTGTAAAGGAGCTCGCAACCAGGACTTCTTACAACTTTTTGCATGGCATGTAGAAGGTGGATTCTCGCTGCTGAGGTGGTCCAGAGCGAGATGATGACATTTGATGAGTCATGTTCTTCCACCCAATCCTTCTTTTTGGTGTAGTCGATTAGAACAGTACCATCCTCAGTCAATTCATGACAATGGTTAATAGTAATTGATGGGTCGTCGCTCATTTTCACGTATTCGCTTGGGTCATTGGAAATTTTGCACTGAGAGAGGCCAAAGTTACGAAGGGAAAATCTTCCCCATAAGTTGTTTAGACACAATTTCGCTTGTGTCCTTTTCCCTTTGTTGACCACCATCTTCTCCCTTTCAATTTTAATCCCAAACAATTCCATACATTCCTTCATAAATTTATCTTCTTTCTCTTTATCTCCTTTAATTGAGTTGTCAAACCCAGACGAGTGAATTTTTTGCGCCATAAATTCACTGATGTATGGGGTAAACAGTTTGTCGTCGTAGCTTTTGTATTCCAATACTCTGAATAATTTAGTGACAATATATCCCTCCTTGAGGGCTTCATTCAATTCAATAGATGTGCATGTGCTGACCCACCCTCTTTGTTGGTCTGAATGGGGACAACAGTAGTTTTCGTTGACGTCCCCTTTTGGGTGCTCTTTGGCACAAGTAGAACACAGGGGAAATAGTAGTCTTTCGTCTTCGTCTTCCCCAATTTTCATTGGTAATACTGGAACATCAATATTTCGAGGTGGAATTACAAATAATTTTAGAAGGGAAAGGTTGTAAATGTTGTCTTCCGGTTTAGTCCAGTTGACATCTTTGTTGATGACATGGACTTCTGGATGTCCAACAGGATATCGAGTCGAAACATTGATAAACGGGTAGAGGGAAGTCACGTCGTAGTAGGAGATTTTTTCTCCTTGCTCTGCAGAATGAAAGAGTTTGAGAGGGCCAGTTCTGCCACCATAGAAGGCTTCTCTAATGTTGATGGGTCCGTCATCCAGGTATTTTTTAAACATCTTCCTCATATCATAGTCCTTTGATAACATAACTCGTATTTCACACTCCCAGTAGATCTCCACATCCACTCCCAAATTCTTGATAAAGTTCAGACGTTGTTTGTCTTTCTCTCTTTGCTTTCCAGCTGTAAGTCCAATGGGGAGTTTCAAGTCATCGTCCGGGTAGCATTTGGGGCATCCATGCCAGCAGCAGCCGTTGACTTCAATTGCCAACTTCTTTTTCTCGACCCATCCATCCAGTCTATAGTTGCCCATCCTTTTTTCACCATTCTTCGAGTGGGCAGTCCTCACTTCAACGTTGTTCTTCTCGCCATACCATTTGAGGAACTTGAGGGCCATCTTACTTTGGTTGTCCGCATTGTCGTATCCTTTTTCCGGAACAATCCCAACATGGTTTGCCTTGAGATGATTCATTCTGAAGTGCTTCATGCAGGCAGAAGCAATTGTCATAGCTTCCCGAAGAACATCCAGGCCGTTGGAGACCTCCAAAAATTCGTTACGGAATGCAATGAGCGCAGCCATCAGGATCTCCACGTCGTTGGTACAATACGCTGCCAGTTGTTCATCCAAAAGGAAAGGCTCATCCTTATGTTGATCATACCATTTGTCAAATTGGGCACGCTTCTCAGGCATCATAGTGTTGGCGAGATAGTCTTCTTTTGTTGGGAAGACCTCTTTTCCATAATTATTTGGATTGTTGGCCAAGTGTGGGAAGAAGGGCTTGTCTTCGACTTGTAGAGCAAAAGCAGGCACAAGTGAAGCAAGAGGCATTGGCATAAGATTGTAGGTGTCGTGGAAGATTATCCAGCATTTTTTAGAATTCTTCACCTTCATCTCATACATCTTGTTGCCCTTCTTTATCATTTCAGGTATTAAGCCTTGAAGATAAAAAGCCTTGAAGAGGAGTACCATGTCGAACCTTCCACCAAAATGAGAGAAGGCTACTGTGTCGGTTGAAGTGTTGGTGATCCATGAAGCAAAATCAGTTAGAGGGTCGGTAGTTACATTTTGTTGATCCACTTGAGTGTTGCAAAAGGGTTGGTGGGAGAATGTTATAGTTCGATCCTCTCCGCAAACAGTACAAACGTCCGAACAATTAGCAATACACTCGGGGCAGTTAATTTTAGCACAAATAAAGTTGACTTCGTGGAGTTTTCCATTTTGCCCTTGTTGGTGTTGCATAGTTTCAAAGTCGAAAGCGATGATGCGGTAAGGTTTCGGCTTCCTTGTAGCAAGAGGTTTGATATAACATCCTCTTTTTGGATCATGAAAGCTGAAGCAGGTGTTACAGTAGCGTTCGGAACAAACATGACCACTTCTACCATTTCGGTTGTTATCTTTGACAAACCATACCACTCCACATTTTTCACATTTTTTAGAATTGTCGCAGAAGTTTGAGAATAGATGATGGTTGTAGCAGTCCTCGTTTTTAAATTCTTTGTCACATCCAGAGCAGTGTTTGAAAAAGTTGTTCAGGGGCTGGCATGGGAACTTTGGACCGATCCTGGAGCAGTTTTGACATTTAACTTTGCATGAAGTGGCATGATCTTTTGGACGATTGTACGTTTTTTCACAAAAAAGGCAATAAGCTTCACCAAACAAATCAGATGCCCTTCGCACACCGTCGAAATGTTGATTGTGGTGATAAAGAATAATTGGGGTATCAAACTTTTCCTGTCCATATTTGAAGATAGGTTCTTCGGCAAATTCACCAAAGATATAAACTTTAAACAGGCCTATGTTCAATGTATTCCAATAATTGACCACTTTGGGAACCCAGTTCTGCGCATCATAGCTTGGCTGATCAAGAGGAGCTCCAACATCTCTCAATAGTTTTTTGGTATCTTGTTCGAGTTGATGAGTCATACCTCTTCTGCTATGCATATAATCATAGAACTTCCATTTTGGCCAGGAAAATATTGAGTAGACGTATGAAGCCATTAATGCATAAAACAAACATAGGTTGTCGGTATTGCGTATTTTGATGAGGTTTTTATCATTTATCCTACGAGTAGATTTCCCACCGCTTCCGCTGATGACGCGTATTCTAGGGATATTCTGCTTGTCAATGGTAGTAACGGAGACTGTAAATGGTTCGCCCCAAAGCATACCATTATCTTGCTTTTTGGATTGGGCGACTTTCAAGAATTGATTAAGTATGGCGTCGATGGTGTTGTTGGTGATGTCTCTAATGGGAATCCAAATGTCAGTTTCGAGCAGCTGACTGCTGACAATACATCCTAGTTGATCAGGTTCAAGTTGGTGTTCGCGGCTTGTAGATATTGTTTTGTCGATACAGGTTTGGAATATTTCCTGGAGTAGGCTTTCGGGGCTTGGAGGTAGTTTATTAATTAGAAATTTTGTAGTCAGTTTGGTCATGTTGAATTTCTTAGTGAGTTTAGTTTCCTCACCGAGTTGTTTAACATAATCACCTCCACCCTTTTGCAATAGGTTGTCAATGAGGAACATCCTCGATCTCTTTAGAGGTGGAGGAGACATTTAAGGTTAGTAAAGTAATATCAATATTTTTAAATTATTCAAAGAATGATGAAATTTTTCAAAAACTTGGATTTATAAATGTCATTTTTATTTGACAGTTTTTCTATTTTCACTTTTCCACGCCTACTTTTTAATCATTTTTTTGAAACAATTTTCACATGACGTATTTTGTGACATATTTTCACTTTTTAACTTTTATTTTTACTTACTTTTTTTAATAATTTACCCAATTTTTACTTTTCAATATCTATTTACTAAATTTCACCATTTTTCTTGCGCATGACTGATTTTAACAAATTTCCACTTTTTATAATAATTATTGTATTTTTCAAGAATGGATTAAAATAAAGAGAAAGGGTTAGATCAAGATAAGACGGATTTAAATGTAATATAAATTTTAAAAAGTATGTAGAGCTGTTTAATGTTTGAGATTTGATATGAGAGGTGAAGTTTGATATGAGAGGTTTTGATGTAGGAAAAACCGGTTAAACTGGTTTAAAATTACTTCTTAAACTCTTGAACTTTTGGGAAACATTATAAACTTATGGTTATGTAATCTTGTGAAAATCGTGTTTTAAACGGATAAATCGATTCAAAACCACTTGTTGAACCCTTAAACCTTTGGAAGCCGTTTGTATATGTAATCTTGTGAAAAGTAAGGTGATTTCTTTAAAAAGTTCAATTTATTCTTAAACAGGTTTGATCAAAGTACCCTTAAACCGTTTGGTTTAAACCTTTTGGTTAAAGCGAACTTTTGTTTGACTTAAGTCTTGTTACAATATGAGGAGGGTTTAACTACTATTTTTTGAAAATTTTATAAATTTGGCATTTTTTCCTTTCTAAATATAATTTTGCAATGTAATTTTTGCATGACAGATTTTTGACCTATTTAACAATAATTTTTGTAACAATTATTGCATGAATGAATTTTTATAATTATTATATATTTTCACTTTTCACCGCCTACTTTTTTAATAATTTTTATATTTTTCAAAATAAAGGGTAAAAATAAAAGAAGATATTTAGAAAATAGAGAAGAGGGTTGGAAAGATGTTTCTCTAAGAATTTTTAAGAGTACATCCTTGAACCGGTTCAAAAGAAATTCTGAACATCTTGAACCTTTGGGAACCATTTTAAATTTTAGGTTATGTAATCTTTTAAAAAATATGCGAAATTCTTCTTTGAACCGTTTAAATCAGTTCAAACCCACTTCTTAAACCTTGAAGCTTTAGGAAAATTTTAAAAAAAATTGGTGAAGAATAGGGCGAATGATAGTTTTTCTTTAAAAAAGTTCAATTTTTGCCATTAAACCGGTTTGATCATATTACCCCTTAAACCCTTTGATCCTTTGGGTGTCCATTGAATCTTTGGACTCTGACGACGGATTGGGTGTGTCTAAATACCGTTTAAATATGTGGGAGGGGCTAAATGGTTGGACCCCGCTGCCCCTGACGACTTGGAGGGGTGGTTAACTACTCCCCCCCTTTTCCAAACCTTGCAAGCACAATAAATCTCTTCCAATTCATTCTGTACCCATTTGTGTGTACATCCAAGTTGAACAAAAGTAGGCGTTGTTACATTTATACAGCCTCGTTTTTCGTGCATTTTTGGTGAATTGAGGGAATTTTGTTGTCCATTATTATTCCCATTTCTATTGGTTGACCAATTATTCGAAAATATTCTTTGGGCTGCATAAACACAGAAATGGCCTAAGAAAAATTTTTTTAGAAAAATTTTTTGAAAAATCTCTTAAAAATTTTTGAAAATTTTCCAAAAAATTTTTTCTGGAAAAATTTCAAAATTTAAAAATTTCAATACATTTACATTTATTTTGTCTACATCCAGAAGTCATTGAAGAAGAAACATCTTCAGCACTCATATCACAATTTATGCATTCATAAAATGGTGGTAAAGAGGGAAGTTTTTGTGCTGCTACTGACATTTCCCATTGACGCCTAAAAAATTTTAAAGAAAATTTATTTTAAAAAATACAGCCGGCTCTCGATTTTTTCCGAAATTATATTTTTAGGTTGGCCTTATTTTGGTTGGCCTCCGATTTGAGTGGTGTTGGAAGTTGCCTAAGCATCTCCCCTTTTAAGTGAATACACCTCGATTTTACCCACATTTTCCGACTGAATCTAATTAAAAAAACCCCCAAAAATCAAAGTTTAGACTGTAATTTAATTCGAAAAACCCCCTCAAGAATACCTCAAAGTAAATATCAAAAAATAATTTATTCTCTAAAAATAACCTTTGTTGTTGTTTCTTCTCCCCTCCTCCACCCAAACTTTTTAGCAAAGAGGAAATAAAAGAAGAATCACTTCCAGAATCATCCCCATTCGAATTACACATATTTTTCCCCCCACAAATACAGAAACGTTGGGGGGAAACTTGAAAAGAATTTTTTTAGAAAATTTTTTAAAAAATTCAAAAAAACCTCCACCCCCACGGCTAATACTCAAACAAACGTGTTGTTGGCGTTGTAAAAGTTCTGTCGTTTTGTACAAATAGGGAAGCGAAGGAGGGCCAAAACCTTAATTTGTTGAAAGAATTTGGTCCTTGCAGAAATCAGTACTTTCTTTTTTAATATTTAAAATAACAATAGCGAATATTTAGGGCTCTAAAAAATTTTAATAAGTTAACCATTTAATCTTAAAAATCGAAAATACCTAGATAATAAAAGGGAAAGACAAAAATAGACAAAGAATCAAAAATAAAAAATTTTGAGGAAATTGAAATTTTTTAAAAATCTCGATTCAAAAAATCTTTAGGGGCCAAAATCGAAATTTCTACACAACTCTGCTTTTAATTTGTTAAAATTTTGACTTTTGAAAATCAATTGAAAACTTGAAAATTTTTCTTTTATTTATAAGAAAACATTAACACAACTAACTATCCATTTTTAAAAGACCTTAATTTATTTTGAAATAATCAAGCATAAATTTGGGAGAGATATCTTAAGGAAAGGATCAAAATAAAAATTAAAAATAATTATTTTTATTCCTTAAAAATACATATTTTTCAGAATTTATTTAAATTATATATTTGTAAAAGAGGAGGAGAGGTTTTTAATACAAAAAAAAGGTTTTAAAAATTTTTTTTAGGTAATTTTGTATTTTGCGCATAATTCTTTCAAACAAAAATAAACATTTTTTAATTGAATTTAATCAAAAACAAATAGAAAAAAATATAATAATTAGAAAAGGCTATTTTTAACGGAAAATTATTAAAATAAAATTTAAAAAATTTTTTAAATGGTTAAGAAATCTTTTTATAGAACCGCAACTTATATACAAAAAAAGGATTTGAGACCGGACCGAGACGAGATCTCAATTCTCGTGACACTCCCAGTCCCTTTCTCTAATTATAAGATTTCCCCATATGGCTCAGAAAATGAAGTTTTTTTTTAATTTCGAAGTCTCCATCCAGTCTTTTTACCCCGTAGCAATCAACATAAAAGTGTAGCTTAAATTGAGAAATATCTAGTAGAGAAGGGTTACCTTTGTGAAACTCTAGTTCAACTCCAACCCCAAGAAGATTTTGAAAGCCCGATCAGAAATCGAACTCGACACTTTTCTTCAACCCGATTCGCCCTTGGTATCAAGTTTTTTGGTGTACCCTCTATAACGAGGTCTCTTTAAAAATACAAAAAAAAATTTTTTTTTCACAAACCTTATATGCGCAAAAAATATTTGAATAAAAATATTTTTTCAATTAAAAAAAAATTTTTTTTAATTTTTAAAATTCTCTAATCATCATCATCTAAGGACATATAAACAATTAATTCTTCTTTACATTCAATTTGTGTTCCCAAATTGTGTGCATCCATAAATAATTCTGTTGCTTTATTTAATAAATTTAATTCTTCTTGATTACATTGAGAACATTGGGTAGAGTCCAAAAATGTTTTTGTTGAATTATTATTTAAATTTGTTAAAAGTCCGGAGAGAGGAGATACAAGGTGGTGATTGTTGTGGTGAGCATCAGAAGAATCTTTTTCTAGAAAATTATATTTTTTAGAATTTTTAATAATTTTTAGACGTAATTTGGGGAGTCTCTTTTTTCTTCACAAAAAGTCTACCTCAAGTTACCAATTTGAAAAGTATCACAGAAAGAATTGATTTTGGTAGAAACGACGCAGCCCACAAGGAAAGTTGACCGCTCCAAAAGTCAAAAACTTTGAAGCCCTATAACTTTTCAAAATGGGGAATAGGGCCGAAAAAGCCTGAAACCACAATAGGTTATCGACCCTGCTCTACACAATAGTGAATGTTTCATCGCAAAATTTTTGGAAGTAGTTCGGTATGGTTCCTTTCAGAGAGTTAAGCCGAAACATACAAACTTGTCTAAATTCAACCTTTACTACTAGTCTTGCTATACATTATGTGCAGTGTTCATAAGCTCTTATCAAAATTCGTACTGATTGTTAGCTACGAAGTACGAGGCCAGAATTTGAAATTTATGAACACTGATTATGTGATAGATCAGGAGGATATGCTTATCTTAAATAAATCAACAAAATATTTTCAATTTTCCTATGACTTTAAGAAACTAAAATTCATAAATCCCCCGGTCTTATACAACAAAAATTATTTACAAAAAATTAAAATTTTTGGCAAGAAACAAAAAATCGATTTTTGTGAAGAAAAAAAAGATACATATATCATTTAAGGATAAATAATTGTCCCAATTTTATTTAAAATTAATAAAATACCCGCGGTTGTTGGTGGTGCTTTTTTACGTTCCAAAAGGGCATCGTGTCGCTTCACAGCTTCCACATAAAGTCTTGAGCGTTGTATCATATCAATATCGAGAGAATTGTTCTCAAGATTTGTAACGTCAATTATACTCTAAATTGAGAAATAGTATATTTTTTAGAGCTTTAGTGAGTGAAGCTTTTGGTTCTTACTTATGTTTAGAATAAAATTTTAGAAAACTTGAAGACTCATTTTACAGATGAACGAACCCCTATTAAGGATCATTCTACAAAATGTCGTAACTTTTTAAGGAATCATTAAATAGAAAAGGACCGGTAAAAAAAAATCAATCATATGGGGAATGATTGCATCCAATTTAAAAAAAAAGTTATGAAAAGGATTTAACCAGGCCCGTAGCCAGGGGGGTGAGGGGGGAATTCCCCCCCCCCCCCCCGAAATGAGAAAAAGGAAAAAATTTGGGGAAGGGCTGGGGCAAAAAAAGTGAATTTTTTGGCCTACGGCCTCTGAAATTTAAAAAATTTTCGCCTGCGGCGCTAAAAAGGAAGAAATCTGGCTTCTTGAGGTCCAAAATTCAAAAAATTTTCGCCTGCGGCGCTGAAAATCAAATTTTTGGCGCCTGCGGCGCCGAAAAAGTGAATTTTTTTGGCCTACGGCCTTCTAAAATTCTCAAAATTTTCGCCTGCGGCGCTGAAAATAAAAATTTTTGGCGCCTTCGGCGCCAAAAATTTGGCTTTTTTCTAATGCACTTTTTCTAATGCAGATTTGTGATTTACGCCTTATACATCAAAAAATTAGAATAACAAGTGGCGTTATGAGATGCCACATTATAAAAAATAGCAAAAAAATTCTCAAAATTTAGGTGGAAAAATTTTCATCTTTACAAGTACCCCCAAATTCTAATCAACAGAAAAATAAAAAAAACCTGCTGTGTTCTATCCAAAATTCTATTCATTAATTCCTCCTCTTCTTCCTCCCGACTGCGTGCCGTTTGCAATTCGGGAGCTATATTCATATTTCTGTCAGAAGCAAAAGGTCGTAGACTATTTGTCACGTAGTCTGTCACTGTTCCACTTCCATTCCTTTAAAAAAAATTTAAAAACAAAAAAATTTTCCAAAAAAAAACCCGTTAGGTATGTGATAGGCATCTTCAATAACTGCTCCTCTGTTATTTACAAGACGTTCTCGATCATTCCCATTGTCTTTACAACAACAAAATTTGCTGAGTAAATGTAACAAAGAAGTGTCTGATGACATTAAAGATTACAAGGCAACAAAATTTTTTTGAGAAAAAAATTAATAAAAAATAGTCAAGAAAATTCTCTGAAAGATTAAAAAAATTGAAGTTGAATTAGTGTGATTCCTTGGCACAAATGGGGTTACTCGATGGATTCCGCACACTCGTTCTTTTTTCCAACGGGATTCCTCGGCACGGAATGTGATTCCTCGATGGATTCCGCACATCCGTACTCTTTTTTCCAAGAGAACACCAAAAGAAAATGGGGGGATGCGGGAGTGATTCCGTGGGATTGTAGGATTAACCTTGCAGGATTCCTCCCACAAAAGTTATTTAGCCGAGTACTTATTTGAGCAATCAAAAAGTGAATAAATATACTTAATTGCAAATAGCATTTAATAAAATAAAAATGCAAAAGAAATACCGATATATTGACAGGAAAATGTAAGGAAATGGGGTAAGAAAAAAGTAAAAATATAAACTGATAAGAAAAATGTTGTATCATCCATTTATGTCTAAAAGTACGCGGTTTAAAAAGGAAAAACTAAAGAGAATTTTAATTGAAAGCATCGATAAAAGAAATCTTTAAAGTCAGTGAATCAAACAAAAGCCAAAATATATTTTGGTATATTGAAAATTTTTGCTTTTTTAGGCTTTTTGAAATATTTTTAAAAAGTTGACATTTTGAAATTTCGAAACAGACATTATATCAAAGTGTGTCCACACAAATGGTAAATCCGACAAAATGGTACAACAGCTAGAAAAGACAAAATGATAGTACATGTAAAAACGACAAAATGGTACAACGGCTGAAAAGAGACGGTTAGAGTCCCTGTTTGACCCGCAATGAGAATTGTCATCAAAATTATTTTTGAATATTTCCGAAATTTTTAATTAATTTTTTCTTTTTTTTTTGTGTACATTTTGGCGCCATTTGATAGGCGCCAAAAACAATAATTTTTTTCTTTTCTAGTTAAGAAAACTAAATATGATTGACTCTCCTTTGTTGTCCGATATGGATTTATTTAAAGATTCTCGTCTAATTACAGATGCTCAGCAGTGGAATCCTTACGACGATATGGGAGGGTATTCCTTTATTTTTGAATTTTCTAAATAAAAATAATTTTCAGGACTTGTGCTGCTATCCGTGGTGATGATTGGGTTGTTTTTGGTAGTGATACTCGTATGCTTATGTGGAAAAGTATTTTGGCTAGAGACTGCGAGAAGATACACGTTTTGTTAGTTTATTTTTATATCAGGCTTTTTTAATAGACTTTTTGGTGTAGTGGGATAACTTCGAGGCAGATTGGGCTAGGTTCGAGTCCCAGCTTGTGAAATATTTTTTTAATTTTGCAGTTTAGTGTTGATGTGTTCTTTTCTAATTAAATAACCTATAGGAATTCTAAATAGTGTTTAATAAGACTGCTTTGGTGTAGTGGTGTAGTCTTTGTGATTTTAGCAACCAAGGGGTCCCGGGTTCGAATCCCGGCGATGAGCACGGTTTTTGTTTTTACAATTTAGTATTCATGTGTTCTTTTCTGATTAGTTAAGCCATTCAAATATTAAAATAGGCTTTACATAGGATATTTTGGTGTAGTGGTAAGCTTCTTGCTCAAAGGGGTCTCGGGTTCGAACCCCTTCGATGGCAGTCATTTTTAAGTTTGGAAATAAATAAGGAAAAATTTGCTTTGAACCTTTGTTGCAACCTTACAAAATTTTTTCAGCCATTATAAACCTAGTTTTCCCCTATATTCCCTATTTTTTCATTTATAGAGACAACAACATTCTTTTGGGTACTTGCGGTTTTTATGGTGACGTTCTTCAATTAAAAAAGCTTTTGCAGGTTTCTTTATTTTTTATTTAAAATCAAAATTTCATCTTCTTTTAAAGCTTCGTCAAAATCAATACAAATTTAATTATCAACATCAAATGACTACAGAAATGTTTGCTTCTATGTTGTCTCGTATTCTTTATAGTCGCCGCTTTTTTCCTTTTTATACTGGATGTATTGCTGGGGGAATTGATACTAAAGGTTTTTTTATTTTTATCGGGTTTTGACTTTGTATTAGAGAGATCGGCCTGTGTCTGGTTTCAGTCCTTGATTTTTACTCGACTCAAAGCCAATAGGCTGGTCAATATTTCCTATCTGACTCATGGTCAGGATTTTTTAAAATTTCTGATTTCTACTTACAAGGGAACATTCCGAACTGTGACCAAAAATTTTTTTATAAAAATTATACCATCGTGTAGAGCATGGTCGATAGCCTAACCCTATATATTTCTTTTTTGGCCCTGACCCCCATTTCGAAAAGTTATAAGGCTTCAAAGTTTCCGACTTTTGGAACGGTTGAGTCGCCCTCACTATTCTTATTAATTGTCTTCCTAAAGGGAAAAGTGAGACTCCTTTTCTCCATTTTTCCTTTCCTTTTCTTTTCCCATGTTGGTTAGAGAAAGAGAAAAAGGGAAGAGAAAAGGAAAGGAAAAGAGGCATCTCTGCCTCCTTCACTTTCCTTTTTAATTGACATTAGCCGCAAGGCAGAGATGCCTTTTCCTTTTCTTTTCTCTCCTCCTTTTCTCTTTCTTTAACTAATTTCTGAAAAGAAAAGGAAAGGAAAAAAGGAGGATGGGAGTCTTATTTTTCTCCTTAATAAAAAAACTCTCTCTTTATGAGGGCGACTCAACCGCTCCAAAAGTCGAAAACTTTGAAGCCCTATAACTTTTCGAAATGGGGGTCAGGGCCAAAAAAGAAATATATAGGGTTAGGCTATCGACCATGCTCTACACGATGGTATAATTTTTATAAAAAAATTTTTGGTCACAGTATAATTTTCTATATTTTTGCTTTATTTTTCTTATTTTTTGGGTTCCATTAAATACTCGGTTTCGAAGGACGGCACAGTCTTATACTCTTTCCAAATTCTTCATCCTCCCTTTGATTTGAATCGAAATAATTTTTTGCAATCAGGGGAATGCCCCGTCTGAACTAAAAATTAGGACCGGAATTGAGATCCCTACTCGAGGTTGAAAGATGGGCATATTTTCTATTAGCATCCCCTCCCTTTAGCGGGTGTCCCCAAAGACCTACCAAGGACTTTCAGTTTATACTAGTAAAGACTGGACTGGGAGGGCCTTACAAGATAGATTATCGAGATTTTTGTTTGAAATCTCGGCTGGATTCACTCTCTAGTTCCTACCAGGGAACTGAAAAGATGGGCAGAATTCTGATTTTTTTCTCATTTCTTTAAACTTTTCTAGGCAAAGGGGCGTTATATTCTTATGATCCAATTGGGCATTGGCGTCTAGCACAAACTTTCTGCACTGGTGCTGGCGGTACAATTGTACAATCATTTTTTGATATTACTTTTCAACAAGAGACTATCGATGAGGGGAAACGTAAACCTGTAACTGTTGAGGATGCAAAAAAATTGATGAAAGACGCTTTTCGTTCGCTTGCTGAAAGAGAGACGTCTACTGGGGATGGACTTAAAATTGTTTGGTTAAAGGCTGGGGATAAAGAGGTTTTTTATTTAATTTATGTTTTGTTGGGAGATAAGGAGGAAGAGGAGGGTCTGTTAAAAAAATTTTTTATTTTACGGAAACTAACAAAATTGTAAATTAGTTTTGCATTTTCCGTATACTCACATATTCAAACCTCCCAAAAGCCAAAAATTCTACTGGTGATAACTTGACCCGAAGTCATTTGCAGGAAAACGAATATATGACTTCTCAATAGGAAGTCTATTCCTATAAAAAATTTTTCTGAAATTTATCCAAGAAATTGGAATGTTTGAACCTCTATTTTTTCTATCTTTCAAAGGACAAGAAGACTGGGAATAAATACTTAACTTCAAAAAAATTTTTTGTTTTAATTAGGCGCATTCTGAGACTTGTGATTTGCGTGGAGATTGAGAGAAAAAAATTTTTTATTGGAAAATTTTGATTGAAACAGCTCTGACATATATTTTTCTCTTTATATTATTTAAGGTTTTTTTTTGTGTTCTAAAAAAGTAAAATTTTTTGTTTTGTGTTTATTTTTATTAACTTATTGTTCGTAGGACGAATCTTGGTAAGACAATGACAAAATAGAACACCAGGTTTAAATGACAAAATAGTACAGTAACTAAAAAAGACAAAATGGTACAACGGTAAAAAACGACATAATGGAACACTAGCTAGAAAAAATACCATAATCCTATCATTTCCGGGCATACATGCACATTTAATTAGCTAACCCAGAGCCCCCTAATTAACCAAGAAGGTTTTTAATCAGAAATCCTCTTAATTAGTGCCACTGGCTTATTATATTTTGTAATCTTTTCTTAAGAAAACTTTATCGGAAACTCTAATTTATTGCTTCCCTTCCCCCCTCTACACACACACCCACTTATTTAGATTTTTTCTTGAAGATTTCTTTAAGAATCTTCACTTCTATGCAAAAATCTTTCGACAAACAAGCATTTTCTTAATAATAATAAAAAGATTGCCTGGAGGCAAAAGACGGTTTTTGTTACTTAAAAAGGACAAAAATACCCAGAAATCTTGAAAAATAAATTCCCCTATAATTAAATCTCGTGTTCATTTTTTATTGAGATTTTTTATTGTCATTAACAGATTTTAAAGCCAAAAAAATCTAGAAATGACACGAACGATCATTTTATTGTTTCTAATTGTATTAACTGCACAATTAATTAAATGCAAGTCATCTCATGGTAAACAACCTTTTTTTACTTAAATATACGGTCGAACCTCGATTAGATACATTCAATACTCCTCAATTTAAGAGATTAAAAATAACAACTCTTTGGTCGGCCATTGGGAAGAGCTAAATGATATTCTCTATTTAAGATAACAAGGTACAATGGTACTATCGGGTTCTATTAACCTCTCGTCTCCTTTCCACACATAATCGGTGTACTACACAATCAAACAGAAGCACACCCTTACAAGGAAATTGAAAAAATAGGAGCACATACCTTATTCTATTAGAAGATTTAGGGTATTTAAAAACCGGACAAATGCCAATAGGCTTCGATCAAAAGAAAATGAGGGCGAATAATCCTGTAGTATCGATACAATTTTTACTCAGTCTTATAATGGAGGGTTTCGACTGTATCCAGTAACCATTTTAAATAATTTAAATTAGTTTTAGGCCCAAATTATGGTTCTGCTACGTTTTTCTTCATAAAAAGTTCATTGAATGATTTACTCAAGTCCCGTGTCGGAATACTACAAAACCAACAGGGAAAACGTTCTGTAAATACAAACAGTCTTCAATTGTTGAAGAGGTTACAACAAAGAAATGTTGAGAATGAAGTGATTTTTTTTATTATTTTTTGGCATTCTGTATTTTTCCGGGTCCCAAAAATACAACTGTGTCCTTTGTTCTGGTTCCTGTTAGTTCTGAAAATAGGCGGTTTCTAGGTCCTTATTCCCAGAATTAGTTGTGGAACCGGGAAAGCACCGATGATATTTGTGTTGATTTTACAGCTAAATTTATTTTCTTTTCAGGCAATTGGTGATTATGCCAGAGTTATGCGTTCAGCAGCCAATAAACAAAGCCCTGATTGGAGTGATTTGGGATGGGCTTGGGGGTAAAGAATGGAAATTAAGAATAAAAAGAGTATGCAAAATAATTAATATGAAATTGCAGTAAATTGTATATTTATCAACAAATAAAAAGAGTACAAGTATCAGAAATGTTACTGTTAAAATGTTACTGTTCCAATTAAATTTAAATTACTCCCAAATGAGGACTGTTTTGTCCAGTGTCATTTTGTCTCCTGTACAATTTGTTTCTTTACCATTCTGTCAGCGAACCATTTTGTCCCGAGTACCTTTTTGTCACTTGTTCCGTTTTGTCAATGTACCGTTTTGTCCAAAACAATTTTGCAGGTTATAAAAGGGAGAGCACAGCATCTTAAAATAAGCAAAGGCTGTTACTCGCCTTTCAGTGCTGTTTCAGCACTATGGTTTCAGTGCCAGGATTTCAGTGCCAGTGTTTCAGTGTGTGCTCTATTTAAGTGAATATGAATTGTATACAATTATTAAAATGGAATGTTAATCATTTTATTTAACATTTAAAGGCATTTTAAATTAAAATAAATTTTTTCAAAATAGGTTTTTCCCTTTATTTTTCATTTTCTAAATTTAGTTACAAACCCATGTGTAACTTTTATAAAACATGTGAAAAAACGATAAATTTGGTTTTAAAACAAAGATAAGACTTTGTTTAACGATTTAGTTAAGATAAAAATTTTTTTTCAAAGTTTTTTTTCGAGATAAAACTTCTCGAAGTTGCAACCCCCAAATCTTTAGAAAATAGCACGCGAAAGAAATAGTGGGGAAAAGAAAAAGATACTGTATTTTTATTTATTTCAGTGCCACTGAAACGGTTTAAAGTAACAGGCTCTCCGGAGAGCAATGCTCCTGTAGTTTTCTTTGGTATTTATTTCACTCTTTTGGCCAAATTTATTTCTTGATAATGATCAATTCTTGTTATTTTATTCGAGAGTAAATCAATCTTTTTTCTATTCCTTTGTGTTTACGCGATATCTAAATTATCGATAGTTTGGGTACAGCCCAAAACGGCGCGCGGCCATAACGGCGCAAAGTCATAACATGCTGGAAAATGTCTGGCCTTTGTCAATTTTGGTACCAATCTCCTTAGCTCGATGAGAAGAATTGTTTGATAGTAAATCTGGTAAGGTTAGAAAATCTTGAAGCAAGTTATGGCTTTGCGCCGTTTTGGGCTTGTCCCCGATAGTTTATATTTCGTTGACTTTAGGGATGGGTAAATTTAATTAATTAAATATCTTGCCAAATTTCATTAAAATTCAATAAAATCGACTTTTTCTTTCCCATTTTTGTCTTCCCATCCATCCATTTTTTTTAAATTTTATTTTCTAAAATTAAAAAAAGCTTCCACATTTTTGTGGGATGATTAGTTAGTTTTAGCAAAAAAAGGAAAAGCATTTTTCTCTATTCCAACAACAAAATTAGAGAAAATGAAGAAGGGAAGGATTGTTTGGTATATAAGGGATGCTTCCATTGATGTTTTTGAAAAGAGTTGGGGGGAGTTTATATATACTCTATTTTTGCTTTTTTGCGGTCGCTATCCTTAAAGCATTTAATGGTAAAAAACTCAATATTTTTATTTCGAAAGGAATGGACGTTGGTGTGTGTGTATTTGGTTGGGTTGGAGGGAGGGAAAACCAATATATTTAAACTCTCCACACATTTAAATATTTTTTAGTTTATTTGAAGGGTCAATTGGTAGAGCTTTGTTGAATTTTTTAGTTGAATTTTCTTTTTTTTTAATTTTCCTGGAAAATTTGGGTTTAATTGAGCACCTTGATTAGCTTGCTTTTTTCTGTTGAAAGCTGTAGAGATCGAGCTGGGTCTGGACCAAGGCCTGGGTTCTTCCTGTTCCCAGAGTCCAGGCCCAGGCATTTTTGACCTTCCTGGGTTTTTCCTGGGCTTGGGTTTTTTCCTGGTACAGGCCCAGGCCAATAAATCAAACCCAGGAACAGTCCCAGGTCCAGACTTTTCAAAAATTCCGATCTTTAGAAAACTCTGTTTTTTGGTCATTCAAGCTCGATTATTTTAAATTTTTTGCAGAAACACGTCCATTTACATGTCTATGGCAAGTTATCTCCAAAAAAATTCTGGCTGCTTTATGTTTTCATTTATTTTGTATACGATCTCGTTCCTGTCTTTAATACTTTTACTTATTAATATTCGTGGAATCGTTCCTTTTTCCTCACCTTTTAATTAAATTTTCCTCTTTTTCAGACTTTCAATTTACAAAAAGCTTAAATTCTATTTATTCTCAAAAGCGAAAACCGTACAAGCAATTGACTGTTCAAATTGTATGTTATATTGCCTAAAGAAGCAAAGCAAAAGCGACACGAAGTCTAATTGTTTTATGCTCGATTGGCCTAGAGGTTTTTTTTGTTTAATTTTTGGGGGGATTATTTAAACAATTTTTAGGACGATCGTCAAAGAAAAGAAAGAAACTGAAGTCCCTATTGGATAAACGTGAAAAAACGTCGAGTTTAAAGGGAATCGCATGCCATTTATTGGAACCGATACCTTACAGGATTAATACAAAAATTAATAAAGAGGATATTACCGAGGAGAAAAGAGAAGAAAATTTTTATTTGTAAGAGGTTTTTTAATATATTTTTTGGTTTGTGTGCCCCTCAAATTTTGATCTTGACAGTTGGTTAGAGCGTGTACTTTCTAATTAGATAATTCCAAAATTGGTTTATTTGCAAGGTTTTGGACTAGATGACGATTATCTAAGGGACCCTGTCTTTTCAGAGAAGTTGTTGTCCATACACAACACACCCTACTTTTTACTATAAATTTAAACAGACAGGAATCGGCTGGGTTGGTAGATCTGGATTTGAAAAAGAAGGGATGGATATCAGAAGATTTCCCAGGATCCGCCGACTCCAAAATCGACCTAAAAAATTTCCCTACAAGCAACCAATCATGTCATTCTTTGCATCGTTCAGCTTGAAAATGTCTTTTTGAATGGACTTTCGATTTTTCCATTTTCCGAATACGTCTAGCAGTTCCTATCCACTTTTTAAACTGGATGAGGAAGCCGCAAACCAAAATATTACCCCTTTGATTTAATTAAATTTTATTATAAATAGAGAAGAATATATAATTTAAAAGAAAATGGCGCAGAAAGTTAATGTTAATCGTAATGTGCAAGATCCCTTCTATCGCTATAAAATGCCACGCCTTTTGGCCAAAGTTGAGGGAAAAGGAAATGGAATTAAAACTGTTGTTGCTAATATGCCTGAAATTGCTAAGGCACTCTCTCGCCCTCCAACTTGTTTGTTTTTGGTTATTTTTGGGGGTTTATGGGGTAAAATATTGAGAGGGTGACACCAAGTAAAGACATGGGATGGAATCGATGTCTTGAAGATTTTTGACGGTTGAGGTTTGGATGAGATTTCGTCTCCTTCTGATTCTAAGTTTTCTAATTTTCCATATTCGAAATTCCAATGATTTTACAAACCTTAAAAACAACGACCCATTAACAAGTATATCCGGTCGAAAGATTCCAGTGGAGGCTATAATCGGGTCTTCTCTGTATATGCCCTTGTTCATTGACTTCCCCTAAGGGTACTTGTGAGTTATCTCATACAAGTTCTTACGGATGCGGACCCATTGATGTGTACAGAATGGTCATACTCTCTTCATCCATCATTTTGACTCTGTTTCCTTGTGCAGTTCAATGCGAGAGGAAGGAAGTCTGTACCAGGGGTGTGCCGAAAGTGATTTTAAAAAGCGAAAGACGAAAGGCGAAATTGCGAAAGTCATTTTAAAAAGCGAACGGCGAAAGGCGAAAGACGAAAGTCCAAAAAAGGCGAAAATCGGCGAAAGGCGAAAGACGAAAGGCGAAATTTTTCAGTCTCGGCTATAAGTCTAGAGATCCTATGCTAAAATAATTCAAAGGCCTTGTTAAGTGTTCCAAATCTATAGATAACTTTCTTAAATCAATTAATCGGGGATATCAGGGAATTTGTAGGATTAAGAAGGATATCAGAAGAGTTGGACTAATATCACGGATTTAAAGGGAAGTCAGAGGATATGCCAGGAAAATTTGACTTTGGATTTTTATTTTCCGATCTAAAGACTTCTTCCTTCGTTGTTGTGAAAAGAGTGAGAATCCTGGGAAATCCCTGGATCCTGATCCGAAAGTTTGGAATATTCGTATGCAGAATAGGAATTTTATTAAAGTCGTGAAGTTTCCGGTGACCACTTTGATTGAAAATAAACTGTATTAACCTTTTTTGGCGCCACAGGCGAAAATTTTGAGAATTTTGAAAGGCCTAGCAGCCAGATTTCTTCGTTTTTTAGCGCCGCAGGCAAGATTTTTGAAAATATACGGTGTCTAATGCAAGGAAAATTCAATTTTTAAATTAAAAAAATAATTTTTTCAAAGAAAAATGATAACTATTTATTTTTAAAAGAATTAAAGCCTTGTCTCTGATCTTGGACTCGAACCTAACAATAAGTAAATGGTCGCTAGTTGAAGTCAAACAACTTAACAACTCAACTACATGTCATTACTTACCGACAAACAAAAGAAAATTATAAATATTTATCCCCACTCGTCTCAGTTTTTTTCCTTTTCTTCACCCGATTTTTCCTCTCCCAATTTTTCCTTCTCCCAACTTTTCCTCACATGCCGTCATTAGGGGTGTATAATAATTTCGCCTTTCGCCCGAAAAAGCGAACGGCGAAAGGCGAAAGACGAAAGTCAAAAAAAGGCGAAAATCGGCGAAAGGCGAAAGACGAAAGGCGAAACTCGCACACCCCTGGTCTGTACATATGAATGAGTCCGCGTTAGAGGTCGCAAGACTGGTATGGATAACTTATAAGTACCCCCTAAGTTTTCAACCCCTTAAAAGTCTCAAGTTTCTTTAATTTAACTTTCTTTCACTAATTCTATTCATTTTTAGATCCAACAAAATATTTTGGCTGTGAGCTTGGCGCTCAAACATATTTTGACTTTAAGAATGACCGTTACATTGTAAATGGCGAACACGATGCATCAAAACTTCAAGAACTATTGGATGGTTTTATTAAAAAATTTGTTTTGTGCCCAGCATGTGACAATCCTGAAACTGTTTTGGTAAACGAGAAAAAAATTTTTTTTGAGAAATTTTTGAATTTTTAGACAGTCAAAAAACAAGTCATTTATGCCAAATGTAAAGCTTGTGGACATGGATATCAAGTCGATCCGAAACAAAAATTGTCTGCTTATATTCTTAAAAATCCTCCTACGAGTGAAGAAAGTAATGGAGACGGGAAAAATGCTAATAATAATAACAACGATTCTGGCTCTCCTCCAACAGAAACTGGGGAAGATGGAAATTTGGAGGAAGACAATGGGACGGTTAATGGGGCTGTTCGTGGAGGGAGTGGGTCTTTGGATGAGGAGGATGATGATGATTGGGCACCTGAAGTTATTGAAGCTGAGAAGCTTAGTGGAGAGGTTTGGGAAGATTTTTTAAATTATTTTGGCATTTTTTGACTTTGTGGTTGAGTGGGATAGTTTCTGGTTTTGCTGGGGAAGGGGTCAAAGGTTCGATACCTTTAGCCTCCAAAAGTTGTCAAATGATTGTTTTTAACCTTTTTTTGGAGAGGTTTAGGAAGATTTTTTAAAATTATTTTGGGGATTTTTGACTTTGTGGTTGAATTGGATAGTCTTTGGTTTTGCCTGAGAGGGGTCGTGGGTTCGATACCTTTAGCCTCCAAAAGATGTAAAATCACTGATTTTTAACTTTTTTTTTAGTTTTTAAACAAATTTAACATTTAGAAAGTGTTAAAAAATATTTTTAGATGAGTAAAATGGTTGTGGACAAAGATTTGGACAAATCGGTTGATGATCGTCTTGATATGCTTCTTGCATATTTCCAGCAGGCTCTAAATGATGGAACAATCCAGGATGGAAAGAAAATGTTAAATGAAGCTGAACGTTTAGAATTAAAGAATAAAGCTTCTCTTTTGTTGGCTAATGTTTTGTTTACGGAAGATTTGGTTCAACAAATTAAACAATATCGAAATTTGCTTCTTCGTTTTTGCATGAATGATGCTAAGGTTTGGAATTTTGGGGGTTTTAATGAGGTTTGGGTTAAGTTGGGTGTCTTGGATGAATAAATTTTTGCTAATATTTACTTTCTCTAGTCAATGTTAGTTCTGGAGACCGGTATTTTCAAAAATCCTGTACCTGGATTTAGTTAGTACCCTGGACAAGATTCTGGATCTGGATCCAGGAAAAATCCAGACTGGTTCCAGATCCAGACCGATCTCTAGTCGATTCTCTTCGGTTTAGGATCAAGCGGGTCCTCTATTTCTGGCTTCCAAAAAGTGCGGATCACTAGGGAAACACCGTTCACCATCATAAGGCCTTTTAAATTTCTTTCATACTTTATAAAATCACAGTTTCAAAATAATTCTAGGCACAGCGTCATCTTCTTGGAGGTATTGAACAAAAAGTTTTGGCAAAAAAGGATGTTTTGCTTCAAAAAACGGCTCATATAATAAAAGCTCTATATGACAATGATATTTGTGACGAAGAAGTTTTGCTTACTTGGGGGAAAAAGGTTTTTTTAATTTTAAAAATTTTTTGATTAATTAAAAAAATTTTTTTCCAAAGCCAAGTAGCAAATATGTCAAAAAAGATTTTGCTAAAGAAATGATTAAAGTAGCCCAACCAGTGCTTGTTTGGCTTGAAGAGGCTGAGGAAGGCTCTGAAAGTGATAATAATGATGAAGATATTGCTGTAGCTTTTGATGATCGTAGTCGTGTTGTTGGGACTGTTGTTGAAAATAAGGAGGAGGAAACAGCCAAAAAAGGTTCGGATAAGGAGGAGGAGGGAGAAGGGGATGTTGACATTGACAATATTTAAATGAATAAAACCCGTTAAAAAATATATTTGTAAGAGAAAAAAACAATATTCAACCACCAAAAAAATATTTTATTTTAAAGTTTGGATTTTTCGATATGTTAAATTGTGTGTGGTTCATTTATTTTATTGAGATAAAAATTGATTTGTGGGAGTTTTATATTTTTTAAAAGGGTTAATATTTTTTACTTAAACTTAACGGGAGACTAAGGCGTGTAGTCCCTTTATAGGATTTAAAAAAGATGGCACGCCCCAAGTAGGAATCTAGCATTAATCTCTGTATAGGACTTAGAAAAATGGCACGCCTCGAGTAGGGGGTCTAAATGCTTGTAAATCCCGAGGCAGTTGTCATTGTCATTCCAACTACTGACAAAAATCCTTAACATTCCCCTTCCCCATATGAGTGCATAAATAGTCTTTGCGGTTGATTTAATACACCAAGGAAACTATAGGGGCGGTATATTCAGTTGTGTTTCGGTCTAGGCTCATTACTCAACTTCTCTATTCCATCCAATGAATTTTACACATGATATGATAGTTGTAACATTCCCAATTTATTACTCAAAATTTTTACAAAAATGTAAAGGTAATAAAATATATATCTTTTATGGAAACAACTCAAGGGAAAGACCTGAATTTTCGATGGAAAGGTGGTCAGAAAATATTGCAGGCAATACAAGTGGCGAATATAAAAAATTCTTTTAAATACAATAATTTAGAAGGGAAATGAATTTAAATTTATCCCTCTTCTTTCAAAATTTGTTTGGCATTAATATTAGCAATTTCTTCCAATTGTTGCCATTTTCGTTGTTTTTCCTCCACTTCAGAATCTTCAGAATCTTTTAATTTTGAAAAATTTTGGACACAACAATCAAAAAGTTTTTGGTCTTCTTCCATAAATAATTTTAATGTGTTGTAGATTAGGCCGTGAATTGTTCTATAAAATAAAAAAAAATAGATTTTTAAAAATTTTTTGCGGATAATATTTGCGGACAAAATTTTGTCCGCAAAAAATATTTGCGGACAAAATTTTGTCCGCAAATATTTTTGCGGATAATATTTGCGGACGAAATTTTTGTCCGCAAAAATTTTTGCGGACTAATAATTAAATTAATAATAATTACTAATAATTAACTATAACCTCCCCAATCCTCAATTATTAAAATAATTTTTTACTTGTTCCAATGATTCCTCGAATTTCTGTATAAGGCAGGGAACATTATAGGCAAAAGTTGTTGAACATTTTCACTAAATTTTAAAATTAAATTTAGATTTTATTTAATTTATTAACCTTATTAAAGCTAAAATACATTCATTATTCCAGAAATACAATGCTCTCTCGGCTACCTAAAAAATTAAAAAAATTCAATTGTATAAAAAAATTTTTTTAAATTAAACCTGAAAGTGTGGACTTGAAACACATCTTGCCAATTGATAAAATAATGGAATCATTACTTTCTTGAACTAAAAGAAAAAAAAAACAATTCTTAGATTACAGATTAACTCTTAAAATAAACTCTCAGGGCTGAAAAATTATATATCTCATAATGAGGAGTTTCTAAAAAGGGAGGAATCTCTTAGGCAATCTAATTAGGCAGAATATTCTAACTAGTGATTGGACAGAGACGAGATCTTGAACAAAACCCTCCGAAATTTTTCGAGATATCGGTGCAATTCCCATGCGACACTCCCAGTCCGATCTTTAATCCCTGCCAATTCAACCTCAACCTTCTAAATCATCCCAAAATTGTACCCCTCCCCTTATTAAAGAAATCATCGCCATATTGTTAGGCAAACTCCTACAGTGATCAACCAACTATTAAATAACGTATCTCAAAATAAAGGGTATCTTATAATGAGGTCGCTGTTCGCCCATATAAAAATTAAAGAAAAAAAAACCTCTGTTGGTTCAATAACATCCAAAATTTCTTCCAATTCATTCAAAAACATTACCTAAAAATTTTTTTGAATTAAAAAAATATTAAAAAAAAACCTCTTTAGGACTATGCACTTTAGGCCAATATTTTAACAAAGCCATAACTACAGCAACTGTTAAACTTGGATCTTTGTCAATAAATTGTACAATACAATAAGCTAATTGAGGGTGATAAGCATTTAAATATTTTGCCTAAAAATAGAAAAAAATTTCTTTGAATATTTTGTGCTTATAAAAATGTTATTTTTAAGGAAATGTACAAGAACACTAATAAAAGAAAAAATTAATTAGCGAAAAGGAATCGAACCTTTACCTCTAAAAAATGGTAGTCAAGTACACTACCACTACACCATGTAGGAACTTATTGACGAAAGTAAATTATAACTACATATACATAATTTATATTCATTAAAAATACTTGTAACAATTTTTTTCACAAAATTAGCAAATAATTAAATTTTTTTTTAGATTTTTTATTAAAAATTTTTAGAAATTTTTTTATTAATTTATTCTCCAAATATTCTCCCGTATTTTTTTAAATTAATTATAATCATAAATAACCTTATGTAGAGGTAATAATACACGCATTAAAAATGTTTTGTGTTCATCTTTAAGTGGAATTGCAAAACCTTTAAAGTAAAAAAAATTTTTTTTCTAATTTTTTAAATAACATTTAGTCTAAAATTAACTAAAATTCTTAAAAATTCTTAAAAAAATTTAATTCCCCCTTCAAAACCAACCATTAATTATACTTCCCAAAACTTCCAAAAGTTCAGCAATTCCATTATGCCTTTCTGTCTCATAAATAAAAGTGTAAAAAATATTATTTATTTGTTTTCTAATAAAAGGTCGAAAAGCGACAAGTCTTCCATAAATTCGATGAGTTATTGTTTTTAGAAAATCCTTTAAAAAAAATTTTTTTAATGGAAAAATTAAAAAAAACCCGTTCACGAGGATCTTCGCTGTCAAATAAATCTAACAACTAAAAAAGAATTTTTTGAAGATATAATTGGTATAGGAAAATATTTTTTGCGACAAAAAATGGTGTAAGTTTTAACATCAATTAAATTATGCTTAAAACCCCCCAGTTTTTCCTTTGCTACATTACTTAAATTAAAAAATTCCAAGTCAATTGCGTTGTGGTGTAATGGTTAGTGTGTTTGCCTCCCTGTGTTGTGAGTCTATGGTTCGATTCCTTTTGCCCCTATTTATTAAAGGAAGTGTTTTTGAATCCATTTTTGCAAGTGTTAACCTCCAGAAAATTTTTGATAATTAAAAAAAAATTTTTTGAAATTTTTTTGAAATTTTTTGAGATTTTTAGAAATTTTTAAGGTAAATTATAAAAAATAAAATTTACATTAATAATAAATTTTTGATTTAAAAGATCCTTTGCATATTGAATATTAAATTCTGGAGATTCAATAAATCGAAGAAAAAGATCATAAACTAATTGTAAATGTGGCCAAGAAGGTTCTAGTGTTGGATCATCCTTTAATTTTTTTGAAAATATTTTAAAAATCAAAATTAAAAAAAAAAACCTCATCAGGATCATACTCTGTCCCTGTTGGATGTGTTGGTGGGGAAAGAACACGAAAAACATTTGTAGAAAACTTTAGAAAAAAATGAAAAATTAAAAAAAAAATTTTCAAATTTTTTAACAAATAAATTATTGCGGAAAAAGAAAATTAATTTTTTACCAAAGAATTATGCATCTTTTAAGTCCAAAATGTTTTTTTTAATTTTTTGAATTAAATTCTTCATTAAGTTCAATTATACGATAAATTTAATCCAAAAATTAAAAAAAAAATAATTTTAGCTAATCTTGGAATTGAAAAAATTCCTATCTAAAATCACGTGATTTGGGCACCCCCCCCCCCATTTAGCCAAACAAAAAATTAAATTTTAGTTTTTGTGGGTGTACCCAATTTTGAGTTTGACTACTTAAATAATTTAAAAAAAAATTTAAACCATGTCAAATAAAGGCACATAAAAATCTTCATGAATTACAGCCTTTTTTAAAGTAATAAAATCAATGCATTCATTCAATGTTGACCTTTTTATCTTTAAAAAATATTTTTTTAATTTAAAAATAAAAATAAAAAAAACCTCCTTTTGCCTTAAATTAGAAAGCGGATCAATAGAAAAATCAAAAATTTCAGTGCAAATCTTCAACTTTTTGAGAAATAAGTGCTTAAAGTATTCCTGGTCGTCGTCTGGGACTTCTTTTAAAAAAAAATTAATTAAAAAATTTTTTTTAAATATTGAATGAGGAAAAAAATGTGTGAGATTTTTTCAAAAAAATAAAAAAAAGGAAGATCCAGTGTAAAATTAAAAAGAAAAATATAGGCCTCTATAGAGAAAATTAAGAAATTAATTCAATTAAAAGTTTAAACAGAAAAATATGTAGAAATTAAGGAATGGATTAAATAAAAAAATCAGTGGCGTCAGATGAACTTATTGTCCGAGGGAAAAAATAGTCTAAAAACGGCAGGAATAAAAATTCGAGTTTTTCGTTTGAAATTAAAATAAAAATTTTAAGTTAAAAAAAAAATAAGAATAAAATTTAAAGAAAAATTCAAAACAAACCATTAAATTGAGGCAAAACTTCATAAGTTTCATTCAAACCAACAACACTCTGTCTTTGTTTTTGTTCTTTCAAAGCAATAAATTCCATCATTTTTCTATCAATTTCTGCTTCGTCAATTTTTGGACGGTGACGTTTATTTTCATTAAATTTGTCGAAATTTTCATCATTTAGTGAAATAGTAGAAGTATTTTGAGGTTGATATTCTTCCTCTGAAAAAAAAGTTTTAATGAAATAAAAAATAAAAATATAAAATATTTAAAAGAATTCTTTAGAAACTTTCTTTTCAAAAAATTAAATTAAAAATAAAAAAAAAGTTGAGAATAAAATAAAAACTGAGGATTAAACAGAGGGGACTCGAACCTGGTTTGGAAAAGAAGAGAATCAAGAATAATACCACTACACCAGAACTGCTCCCATAGGAGACAACGAAAGTTGAGGTTTAATTAACAGAGAAAATGGCTAGGTATTAAATTTAGTCAACATAGGAATGACACAGCTACCGAAAAATACTTGAGAACCCTCCCCCGTAAATTGTCAAAAATTCTAAAAAAAAATTTCTCTACTATTTACTAAACCCATTTCTGTTGGGTTGTAGAAGACTTTTAACCAAAATAATGTTTTAAAATAAAAAAATAGAAACCATGATTTGAAGACGTTTCTTCTTTTGCCTCATCCATTTGTAAATATTAGAGAACAACACAAAGTCACAAAATAAAATTTTAAAAAAGAAAAAAAATTATTAAATTGTTAAAATAAAAATTAAAATATAATTAAAAAAATAAATTTTAAATTAAATTTTTCTAAAAATATTTTTATATTTATCGAGATCTAACAAAAACAACAACAAAAAAAAAGATTTTTTAATTGTAAAATTAAGACACCTAAAAATGAGAAAACATTTTTGTTTTGAAATATAATTTTTTTCATCGGGAATAAAATTAAGCCAAAGATAAATTTTTCAGGCTGTTAAAAATTAAAAGAAAGGTCATTTGATAGAGGTCTACAAGAAAAAAAGAATTTTTTTGGTTTAGAAAAAGACGTCAAATCCTTAAAAATCTAATAATTTATCAACTATAAAATATCCCCAATAATAGATTCTATTCAAGCGGCATTTTTAAAGTTTTTTTTAGCTTTAAAAATAAAACTTAAAAAAAACTTCCCTCCCCAAATAGGCCGGGAAGTCTCCTAATCGATGCCCTCTATTCAAGGAACACCAAATTAAAAGATACCTCCAATAATAGATAGACCCTCTATTCAAGAAACGTTTCTTTTAATTGGTGGGAGGAGGAGGAAGTTGTCTAAACTATACTCCCTCCCCCCATTTAAGATACCCCTCATTATTAGAAGGCGATTTTTACAAGGGAAGTAAGAAAATGAGGCTTATAATTAGCTGTATAAATTTTCCCAAACCAAAAATTAAAATAACACTAAAATTGTGAATTTTAAAAATTAATAAAATGAGAAAAAAACTTATTTCCTTCAAAAAAGTTACTCATGTTTGTCATAAGAATAGAAAAAAACGTGTATGATTTTGTATGGATTTAAATAATTTGAAAAACGGCAGCAACAAAAAAAGAGCTTTTTTAATGTGAATTTTTAGTTAAAAATTAATTTTAAACGTCGAAAATTTTTTTAGATTTTTAAAAACTTTTTTCGTAAAAGAAACCTTCCATTATTCACAATAAAATTTTTCAAAAAATAAAATTTCAAAAATAATTATATTTAAAAAAATTACTTTTTATTTTTTATTTTTAAGCATAAACGTTGGAAAACAACAAAGAAAACGGCAATGACCAACATTTGTAAAGTCAATTGAAAGTTCTTTATTCTGAAATTAAATTTAAAAAATTGAAAATTAATTTATTGAATTTATTTAAAATAATTAATCAAATTTTAATTTTTCAGAAAAAACGGTTTTTTGGACTATAATAGAGACTATAATATGTCGTATTCGAGTCGGGCTAACAGTCGAAGCATTTTTTACGGGCCTAACTTTATTGAGTCGGGCCGTACAAGTCTTTATCGGGTCAAATATCTTAGACACGACTCGATCTTTCGGTCCAAGTCAGGCCATTTTGGCAAACCTAGCCCACATTGAGTTACTCAAAACATTTTTGTGATTTACAGCAACCATGCTTGGCCAATTGTTTATTGGGTTTCCGAAAATTTGTACAATGGAAAGTTGGGCTCCAAGATTTTCGTAATTTTGGGCTCCTTCAGAAATTCGGGCCCTACGTAAAAAATAAAATATTGGGCGCTCTAGGATTTAGACATAAAGTTTATGGAATCAACGGCGCCAAATTCCACCTTGCATCCCAGTGTCCAAATTTTCTGGATCCCGTTCTTCGATTAATTTTTTAAAAATTTTCTAAAAGTTAGGGATGTGTTCTTATTTTATTTAAATTTTAATATTACCAATTTATTATTAGTCAACAATTTAGCAACAATAGCATTTTTAGAAGCAGTTGTTTCAAGTACATTAATTGCTTCAATTAAATAAATATTTGCCTCACAAAAGAATTCTCTTTTATATTTTTTTATAAATGTTGCTACTTCATCAAATGTTTGGGCAGCACTGAGAAAGTGTTCTTTTGAAGGTGTTGATAGTAAATTATTTAATCTAAAAAAATATTTTTATTGAAGTTAATTTTATGTTTTAGAAATCCCTCTCCTCCGCAGAAAGAAAGGACAGCGTTCGCTTGTTTTCTCTCTTTTCCCTAAACTCAACCACTTCTAAATACTCAAATTTTGAATGGCCCTAACTCGACCCAAAGTCATTTTCTAAAAAAACCCTCATCACTTTGCAATAGGAAGTCGATGGTCCTCTATCAATTGGTACCAAAAAATTATTAAATTTTTGTACACAGTACCCGATGTTTCCTTGTCAGGGAACAACTTCTAGTTAAATTTGTATTTTGAAAACAAATTTTGGTATGATCTTGTAATAACTAAAGCTTGAAATACCTAAGCTTGAAATACATAAAGCTTGAAATACCTAACATTGTAATACCTAAAAGCTTGAAATACCTAAACCACAAAAACGCTTGAAATACCTAATTGTGGAAAAAAGCTTGTAATACCTAAGCCCCAAAAATTTTTGAAATACCTAACCTTAGAAAAAAATCTATAACAAGCTAATAAATAACAAGCTATAAATTCTTTTGGTTATTTGTCTATGTACACTCTCAACACAATGGGTTTTATCCCAACAATAGGAGATATGTCCCAACTGAATTTCCGCTAAAAAAATTGTTCCCGTCATTGGAACGTCATCGCCGTTGACGGAACAACATCCCCCGTTCACGGGACAACTTCCCTCGTTCACGGAACAGCTTCCCCCGTTGACGGAACAACATCCCCCGTTCACGGGACAACTTCCCTCGTTCACAGAACAGCTTCTCCCGTTGACGGAACAACATCCCCCGTTCACGGAACAACTTCCCCCGTTGATGGACCAACTCCCAATGTTGACGGACCAGCATCCCCCGTTCAAGGACAACTTCCCCCGTTCACGGAACAACTTCCCCCGTCACTGAATCAACATCTCCCGCTGTTGGAACAACTTCCCCCATCACTGATTTGTGAGTCAACATCCCCCATTGTTAGGTCAACAGTTTGGTATTTCAAGTTCTTACTGGTGTTTGGTATTTCAAGCTTTTTTCCAAGGTTAGGTATTTCAAGGGCTTCTGGGGGTTAGGTATTTCAAGCTTTTTTCCACAATTAGGTATTTCAAGCGTTTTAGGGGCTTAGGTATTTCAAGCTTTTTTTCACGTTTAGGTATTTCAATAGTTTTTGGGGTTTAGGTATTTCAAGCTTTAGGTATTATAAGACGTTCCGCAAATTTTTTTGGAAAATAGATCTAGGGTGTATTCTTATAATTATTGGTATTCCTGACATGAGAGTAGATAAGTATCGGCTTTAAGCAAACTATGACAACAAAAAATCTTTCAAAAATAGTCACATAGAAATTAGAGGGAAGCAACTATACTAGATTGTCATAAAATCCAAAAAAAAATTTTTTGGAAGGGCTAATGAGGAAATTTTGTTTCTTATTAAATAAGGTAGACGAGACTTAAGGACTCTGTACTAATATCCCCATAAAAATCTTTTTTTTTTTTCAAAAAATTTTGTTTCACTTTAAAACTCCCCAAACTAAAAATTAACACTTAAAAACAAACTTAGAATATTCCAAATAACGTTCATAATCATAATAAATCATATCATTCAAAGAAGAGAATAACATAAAACGTCTATTATAACGCAACATTTCTTCTTCAGGTAAAACAATTTCTTTACTTGTAATTAATCCAACCATCATTTTAAACATTCCACGAGACATTATAGCTTCAATTCTGTTAAATAATACAAAAAATTATTTTTAAGAAAAATAATTTCGAGACCGCATTCATTTTTAGACACCCCCAAAATTTAAATTTTAAAGAGAAAATTTAATTAATTCCACTAATTAAATTTTAAAATTCCACTACCAATTTAAAATTTTTTTAATTTTTTGAACTGTAGCCAAAAATTTCGCATTTTTTGCACCATCGTGTAGCGTCGTGCACCAATAGGTTAGCGAAATTCTTGGCTACAATTCAAAATGTTCCCCTGTTAAACCAAAGGAGTATCTAAAAACTCAATTCAAAAAAAAATTAAAAAAAAAACAAACTTGTAACACAAAGATTTTACTTTCATTTCAGTCAATCTACTTCGATATTGTTCTTCTGTCCTAGATCTACTACGGGAACGTTTACTCCTTGAAGTTGGACTCCCAGCTATTCTATCCAATTTACGTTCCTTCTCGTAACGTTCAATTTTGTCAAAATCTAAAGAAAAGTTAAAAGAAACTAATTTTTATTTAAAAATAAAAACCTCTATGAAATTCTAAGAGAAGATTATTAATTCTGTTGTAAGTCATTTTATTTAAAGTACGAGCGACAACCTCTCCAAAATACCTTGAAAATTAAAAAATTTACGAATAAAATAAAAAAGATGACGAAGATAAAGGAACTTCTTGAAAAATATTTTTTTTGTAAAAATTCTAATTGTAAGTAGAACCGGGTACAGCGGTCGACCCATCCCAGAAAATAACAAAGAAATGAATGAGACTTGATCTTGTGAGCTTTCCTCTGCAAAAAATCACCGGCTGATCGTTTCCATCTTTCTGCTAGTCTGGGGGGAACCGCCGGTCTTACAATGATAATGGGAAAAAATAAAAGTAAGATAATAAAAGAACCCAAATAAAAAAAGAACAATTAAATTCAAAAAAATGTATAGAGGTGCCTAAAAACAACGAAAAAACAACAAAATTAAAGACCCGTATATTCCACCGGTCCCCTTCTAGGGAATAAACAAGAGAATCAAAAAAAATTTTTTTATTAAAATCCTTACCAATAAACATAAATAAATTCAAAAGGCAAAAATAAACGTAATTGAAATCCAATCCAAAAATAATGATGCATTGTTTCCAAAGTTGTGTAGAGAAAAAAATTAGAGAGAGGATATTCCATTTTATTTTCTAATTTAAGCCTTTCAATTAAAGGTGGAAGAGGAGACATTGGTTGAATAATTTTTATATGTTCATTAACATCACTATCATCATTAACTGGAACACCTCCAACGCTTAGAACGAGTCCTTGAGTTTGGAAAACTCTTAAACGAATACCTCGCATTTCGTCTTCAAGCTGTGTTGCCTTAAAAATAAATTTAGAACATTTAGTATGGAAAGTTATCTATTCAAACGCAGGCAAAATTTCAAAATCATTGAGAGCAGGCCCGTTGTCCAAAGTACCGCGAGGCACCAAACTTTAAAGTTATAGGAACAATTTTACAATTTTCCCCCTTTACTTGATATTATAATGCTCATGTATCTTGTTGAATTGTACGCGGTACCTTCTGCGGTACCCAAAAATATTCTTGCGAGATTATGCTATTGTTATACAAAAATCTCGCACGTCTTGCGACAGAAAAGATCACGGAAAATGAGAGAAAATTGCGAGAGATTGTATCTCACCATTTTGCATGCTATTTCCTGTTACAGACAATTAAACCTAAGCAATCAGGATTTCTTATAAAAACATCAAATTTTAATTCAAAACTCATGTTCGTTTTATAAAAGGTCATTAGTTGTAAGAAAAAAAATAATTGATAAGTGAAAATTAAAGTTTCAAACCTCATTAATTAAAATAGAAAAATCATCAAAATTAACATGAAAAAAGTCCCATTGTCTAGCCAAATTGTTGCCATGAGTTTGGTAAAGGCAAGTATAGGCACGTTCAAAAAGGCCAAAAATTTCGTTAAATAAAACATTTAAATGAGGAAAATATGAATTGTGTTGACTAGAAAAATTGGGGAGAATTAATTAATTAAAAGAAAAAACATACGCAATAACATCTTGTATATTATTATTCATAAGGTAACCACAAAATCGATTAACTGAATTGAAGGCAATTTGCATAAAAGGAATTGTGCCCGTTAAATTGTGTCGATTTAAAGGGAAAAGCTTTGAAAAAGAAAATTGATTCTTGATTAAAAAAATAATTTTTTTAAAAATTTATACAATTAATTGAAGAACTGAACGTGTAAGAATGTTACTATGAAGATCACCAAATTTTTTGGCCAATTCCTTAAAAGAAAAAATAAAAATATTGAGACCCACTCTTCCTAAGAAAAATATTAATGTAAGTAAATCATGAAAACTCATTCAAGAAAATGGGATGGGATTTGGTCCTAACAATAAAAGATTTCCGATGATAGATTTTTTCCGATGTAAGGTATTCCATCACCGCCTGATCGTTTCATTTTTTGGTTTATTTGCTAGACTGAGAGGAAACCTCGCCGACTAGGTCGTCCCTCAACTCGAACAATTATCTTATACAAGAAATCGAGTATAAATTCGCAAGAAGTTGGGGTCTTCTATAGAATGGAACGAAAAAATATCGAATCCACAGTGACAGTAAAAGGATTCTTCCCTGTGAGAACTCTCCGATGCTTTTGTTGTTAACCCTCAACCATCACAATACAGACTAAACATTTTTATTTTTGCTATATTTTCTAGAGCGGGAAAAGAACCCTACAACTCCAATAATTAATTTCTTAATTTTTATTTTTATCAATCCAAGCGAATGGAATGATCCTAAATGTAAAACCGATCCACAAAAATTAAATTTAAAAAATTGTTATAAAATAAACCAAAATTCCCCAAGTTGTAGTCACATAATCAGGCACACTCATAATAATTTCTCCAATAGTTTCAAGTGTATCTTCAATATATTTATAACCTTCTAATCTCGAAAATAATTGTAATTTCCTTGGAAGTCCAGCAGTTGACATATAAAGATATGTATTACTATCAAAAGTTGATAACCAATCAAAAAGTGAATCTCTTTCATCTTTTGGTGGTTGCTTTCCAAAATTTATTGTAGCCAATATTCTTTTGTGGAAATGTAAACATTTTTGAAGTTGTTCTCCAGCACTGTTTAAAAATAATGTGAATTTAAAGGAAAATTTATTTAAAGATGGTTTTTCTGTTGGGATATTTTAATGGTAGGGCATTTATTCGAGTAGATTTTCTTTTAATTTTCAAAACTTGGAGAAAATTAATTTTGAATTTATTTTTAACCAAAATAGGCAAACATTGAATTTTTTATAAGAAGCTTTTGAATATATAATATAAACACTTTTCATCAAGGGTAAAGCGGAATCGAGGAAATTGAAACTGATGGATATTGGAAACGGCTCAAAAGTTAGAAATCGTTATTTCAGATCGACCTATTGATTTTCAGGAACTTATGCAGTTTGGGTATGCTTTTTTTTAGCCACGCCCCTTTTCTCCTTCCATCATCAAGCAACCTTATTTTGTACACAATGGTCAGCCTTTCCTTCTCCCTTTTTCTTCTCCACATCAATCAATTTAGACGTGTTGTACCTGACTCATTTCCTTCCTACCTCGCAAATACGGTCCAAATTAATTTTCTTACCCTGAGTCAGTCCAAAAATACTTCGTCTGACTTACTAATTAAGCGAAATAAATCGTGAATATTAAAATTTTTGAAGATCTTTTATATCCAGAATAAATTTAGCAAGATACAAAGTTTATGTAGGAAGAAATGATTGAGAGTGAAGGAACAAAGTAGATGAGGAAGAGAATTAAAAAGGTGCGTGATGCAGTTGTTTGATTGATGTGGAGAAGAAAAAGGGAGGAGGAAAGGCTGACCATTGTGTACAAAATAAGGTTGCTTGATGATGGAAGGGAAAAATTTTTTTGCGCCAAATTTTTGGCGCCGAAGGCGCCAAAAATTTTTATTTTCAGCGCCGCAGGCGAAAATTTTGAGAATTTTAGAAGGCCGTAGGACAAAAAAATTCACTTTTTCGGCGCCGCAGGCGCCAAAAATTTGATTTTCAGCGCCGCAGGCGAAAATTTTGAGAATTTTGGACCTCAAGAAGCCAGATTTCTTCCTTTTTTAGCGCCGCAGGCGAAAATTTTTTAAATTTCAGAGGCCGTAGGCCAAAAAATTCACTTTTTTTGCCCCAGCCCTTCCCCAAATTTTTTCCTTTTTCCCATTTCGGGGGGGGGGGGGGAATTCCCCCCCCTCACCCCCCCCTGGTTACGGGCCTGTCTTCAGTAGACCGGACTGATGTGTTTTTTTTATTATACCACGCCGCCTACTGCACAGCTTTAGGAATTAAATAGCTCTATGCTTTACAATACGTTCTTTGCCAATGAAAATTGGCCAGTCTATTCAAAATTTCAATTTTATAAAATTTCTTGTCTTTTAGGCGAGGAAAGCAAAATACAACTCAAAAAATTTAAAAAAACCTGTATAAATTTGGAATAAAAGGGTCAATTTCTGTTTCATTAATACCCGCATTCAACAAATAAAGAGTCGTTTTTGAAGGCAACAAAAAATCAAACATTTCCAAAAGTGAAGAGAAAAACTCGAAACGAATGAGCAAAGCTTGAAATTCGTGTTTTTCAGTTGCGGTGTTGTTCCCTCTAAGTGTTTTTCTTAATTTTGCGATTGCATCAGTCAAATTGGCAGAAACAAAAGTCCGGTCGTAACTTGGGACATTATGTCCAGTTTGTAGACAGACATCCTCCTGAAAAGTGAGATTAGATTTTCAGTAAGGAATGAAGAAAGGACTAACAAGAAGGATACACTATATATTAAATTCTCCTTAATTATAGATAAAATTTTTTAAATTTGGTCCCTAGGGTAGTAGCATATCCGTCCCTTACACTCACGATTTTCCCAGCCTCAAAAATTTATCTTTTGGGCAATGAGATTCCTAGGATTTCGGAAGGTCTTAGGAAGGGTAAACTAACACTAAATACAAATAGTAGTTTAAGAAAAACTTTGCACAAAAAATTCAAAAATAATAAAGATCATTTTTTAATTTATATTCAGCTAATAAGATTAGAATCCAACTAGAAATTAAAAAAACCTCATTCGAAACAGAAGCACATCTAAAGTATAGCTTCAATAAACTAATAAAGTGTAGAGTTGCCGTTGATAGTGTGTACAAATAAATATTGTTCTTGATCAATTCGGAATCACACATACACAAATTTGAGAAAATCTGAAGAAAAAAATTAAAATTAAAAAGAAAAATAGGCTTTAATTTACTGTTTGATCCAAAGGTTGAGAATTCAGCCAGGAAGCGATAGTTGCAAAGGTAGCGTCAAATGTTGCAATAATTTCTTTAACAGGCAGTCTCAGAATTTCCTTAAAAATTATTGAATTGAATAAACATTGGAAACTTTGGGAAGCAAACAAATTATCTTACAAACTGACAAAGGGACTACTAAGGAAAATTGACGATTTTAAGGAAGAAAAAATGATGGGAAAGAAAACGAAGGTAGCCTTGTTTTCAGATAGGGCCAAAATTTTGCCTTTAATGGGCACCCTGTCATTTCTGCCCAGTTTACCTATTGTACCTATGGCTGCAAATCAATCATAAAGAATGATTATCAATGGCCATGTGTTAAAAATAAACTTAAAATTGGAAACATAAGGTTGAAAACTACGGTGGGGTATGATTCCGTGCACACGTTTCCGTGCACACGATTCCGTGCACACGTTTCCGTGTCCGTTATAAAAAACACGTTTCCGTGCCCAATTTCTTTTTAATATAATAAACCATAAGAAAAGGTTTTGAGGGGTACAGTGAATATCAAGGGACTTGTGCATGACATCGAGACATCAACAAGGGGATATTGGTGGATTTGGAGGAAAAAATCTCAAAAAAATTTTTTTTTTATTTTAAAAAAATTAGAAGAACCCTGCTTCTAACCTATGACCAACAGAATCTTCGCTGGAAAAACTGTTTTTGTGCTGCTACGGAGGGTAGGCCGGGCATGGTCTTCGCTACACGATGGCCGTGCTTCGCTGCGGTCGTGCTTCGCTGCGGTCGTGCTCGCTGCGCTCGCGGCGACCGTAGCGAAGCGGCGGCCGTCGTTCCGCTCGACATGCCCGGCTTCCTCCGCAGCGGCAAAAACTTTTTTCCGCGTAAATTTTTTGAATTGAAAAGAAAAATACTGAAGCAAAGTTGATAAGTTGATTACAAGGGGGATTAAAATACTTAAAAAATATTTAAAATTTTATAAAAATTTAAAAAAATAAAAATATTTAAATAATTGGGCACGGAAACGTGTTTTTTATAACGGACACGGAAACGTGTGCACGGAATCGTGCCCGCACGGAAACGTGCCTGCACGGAATCGTGTGCACGGAATCGTGCGCACGGAATCGTGTGCACGGAATCGTGCGCACGGAATCGTGTCTAACCGTGAAAACTACCGAAAAAGCTTCAATTTTTCAAGAAATAAAATTATTCAAAAATAATACTTGTGTAAGTTTTGCCTTATCAGTAAAATTAAGCATTTTCCATTCAAAAAATTCCATTCCAGAGTCCATCTTCGGATCCATAATTTCTACAAAAATTACTTGATTTCAACTAAAAATTTAAAAAAACCTATAGCACTCATAGCATGAGAAATTTTAAAGTCATTTGACATGGAAAATTCGCCAGTTTCCAATTCTAAAAAATAAAAATTTAAATTTTAATAGAAAGAAAAGAAACCTTCACAAGCTTTCAAAAATTCATTAGTGATGTCAACAAGTTTCGAACCATTTGTCAAATAAGCGTCAACCATTTAGATTAAATTGTCAAACTAGGCGAATGAAAAAAGTCTTCAGAAGTGGGAAAACTAAAAAAATTCTAATTAGACTGAAAGCCTGAATTTTTATTAAAATCATTTGTGCTTTCTCACACGATTTAGATAAATTTTTCAGAATTAGCCTAAATCAATAAAAACAAATTGACCGAACAAAATCCATTGAAAACAAAAATCAACTGTTATAAACAAGCTTAAAAAGTGAAATAACCAAAAAAATTAAAAGAAATCGAAAAAACTTCGTATAAGAATAATCAACTGAAAAACATAATAAGTATAAAATAATTGATTAAAATAATTAAAACTCAAATTATCAAAAATTTTAAAAACATTTATTATTATTTATTATAATTTAAAGCAAATGAGAACTAAAGTCTGAGGTTTCTGCGAACAATAAATAAATAAATATCTCAAAAAAATAACAACAAAAATATTTCTAACCGAGGGTCTAACAATAACATTTAATTAAATATTTAAATGGCCGCATAGGACAATTTATAAACATCTCCATTAATAATTTGATGAAATTGTGGAATCTTTACCAATTTGAATAAATCTTTATCCTTATTCTTCTTGTCCTTCCCTTTATTCTTGACCTCCACACCTTGATTCAAATCACCCAATTCCTTCTGTTCTTCCTTCTTTACCTCTCCAATAATACTTCGATTCAAATCCTCAATAAGTACTTCCAACTTGGGTATGTTCAGGTCGCTCTCCTTGATCTTTCTTGCACGATTTCTATCTACATCTTTTAAAAAACCTTCAAGGCCTTTACGAACTTCGTTGTGGTCCAAGCTTCGAATTTCCGCAAGCAAAGCGTTGATTGTAACAAAATAATTCTTTATAACATAAGCAGGAAGGCCACTATTGTAACCATAATGATGAGAACTAAAAACAAGTTAAGTATAAAAATTGGAAAGAAAACGGACAAACAATCAGGGTAATACTCAAGAGTGATTTATTTACTCAGAAACAAAAACAAGCATCAGGAGTTATGCTAATCAAAATTTGAAAACTTTTCATACGAAGAAAGTATCTTCAGGGCAAAAAAGCGTAACTCAAAATAGGCCTTAACTCAAAAGTTATTTAAAATCAAAACTAACGTTTGTGAAGCATCGAAACCAAATCTGATCACTATTTGATCTTTTACTGTAGGAGCATACGTGGAAGCATAGAAAAGAAGATGTTTGGAGGAATGATGCTTGTATACCCAAATGCCCATCTTTGCATACAACAATCTAATGGTGTCTTGAACAGCCTTCCAAACCTAAAAAATTCAAATCAAAATTATTTTAAACGATTAGAAACATGTTCGCAAGAGCTCACAGTATCTGGAACTTTAAGCTCAATGTTAGCCTTCGCTTCTTTCATAAATTCCTCAGCATCATAATATTTACTTGGAAACTGCAAAAATAAATTTAATAATCGAAATATTATAAAAAATGTATTCTTGAGTCAATTTTCAATAACATTCTATATTTTGAAAAATCGAGAAATCAAAAACAAACCCGCAAAGCAAATACTTCACAATGCATAGCAGCGCCAATCGAGATATCCTCAGCCTTTGCAATCAACGGCTTTCGTCCAAACATTGTGTCTGTCATTCGTTGTCGAAACTATTTGAAAAAAAAGTTTATAAAGACCGGGATTTAGGCAAATCTCATTGATTAAAAAACTAAGCATTAATTTAAAAAAACCTGATGATTATGATCAGCTGCCAAAGTTCCTATAACCATAACATCGTTGATTTCTTTTTTGTCTATCTCCGCATCAATTAAAGCTTTCGCATACGAACACATTATCTCATCAATGTGGGATTCATTTAAATGGCCATTTGGTTTCTTGAAGTGAGGAAAGTGTTTGAAGGCTTTGTTGTCAATCAAATTGATGTTGGAAGTAAATTTAACTTCAAAGAGTCCATTCTGTCGTCTCAGAATTGAAATACTCAAAATTCCCAATTCCAAGCCACAGACAGCCAAGCTAAAAAGCATTTTATAAAATAAAAATTAAAATCACAAACATATTTCCTTTAGGTGCAATATTGGAAAGAGCAACAGCTTCGTGTTCAGTAACTATTTTGACGATTTGTATTTGTGCAATTTTGGCAGCCAATTCAATTTGCGTACGCTGATCGGCATCGAAGTAAGAAGGTACGGTAATGACCGTCTCCAAATCACACGCTTTCAAATAATCTTCTGCCATATCACTCAGTTTTTGTAAAATCAAAGAACACATATCTGTGGGAGTATAACTTTTGCCATTTGCTGCTTTAATCCACGCCTCTCCATTAGTTGCTTCAAAAATGTTGTATTTGACATTTTTCCTAAATAAAAAAGGTAACTCATTAAAAGCTAAAAATTACCTTATAATCTGAACAATCGGGTCATTAAATTTTTTGCCAATTAACAGCTCCATCATAAAGAAAACATTTTCAGAGTTTTTGTGACGAATAGCCGCATCACCAACAACAAAGCCATCTTCCACAAGAGCTACCACAGACGGAATAGCATAAGTCTCCGAACCATTCTTTATCACCTAATTTTTTAAATTTAATCAAATCAAAAATTTAAGATAAAACTTTGGTCTCCCTATCCTTATGTACTGCAACACGGCAGTTGGTTACCCCCAATTCCAATCCAACTCTTGGTGTTGGGAAATACTTAAGAGGCGGCTCCGGCAGAGCAGTACAGCTTTAAAAACAAAAAAAATTTTTAAGTTTAAAGAAAACAAATTACAGTTTTCTGATTGCAAAAGTCTTGAAACAATTCAAAATTAAACGCATTTTAAATAAGCCCGAATAATTTTTAAAGAAAACTAGAATAAAGTCTAAAATAGAACTTTAAAACAAAAATAAATAAAAAAAAATAAAACAAGTAAAATAAATGCAAAATAAAATATCTATTTATTTATACTAAAAGTAAATTCAGCGACGACTCTTCTCTCACTTTATTGATTTACTGAGACGGTGGGGTATCTTTCCGCGCCGACGATTCCGCGCCGACGTTTCCACGCCGACGTTTCCGCGCCAGGTCAGTTCCGCGCCAGGTCGGTTCCGCGCCAGCACGTTTCCGCGCCAGCTATACAAAATATGTGATACTTTGATTTATAAATTTTTTTGATTCTAAAAAGCCATTATCTTTTTAAGTAGGTAATCATACATGTATAGAAAGTGGACCGACTCGTGTTCAGGTTATTATTTACTTATTTTATAACTGGCGCGGAACCTCTATAGCTGGCGCGGAAACGTGCTGGCGCGGAAGGCGCGGAAACGTCGGCGCGGAATCGTCGGCGCGGAATCGTCCCTAACCGTTACTGAGAAGCCCAATTGCTTGGTAGATTAGAGTCTGTGTTGCCCGCTAAATACTTTCATCCATCGAAACACGACTCTAATGTCTGCGACTAGATGGCAGTTTTGCGTGAAAAATAGCATGCAATAATGAGAGACTATACGACATCAGACAAACTTTGTTTTTTCGAAATTTTTCCTTTGTTTGTTCACATTAATGTTTCTTGTTTTTTTTTAATTTTTTCATTTTTTCTAGCAAACTAAAAAATATTTCAGCAACTTTATTTTCTTATTATTCGAAATAATGTCTTCTGAAACTCAACCAATTACTGACTCTAACACTACCGAAAATCTTCAAGCGGAGGAGCACAAGCCTGAAGAGGTCGTCAAGTCTTCGGAAGAGCAAACTCCAATGGACACTTCGAATCAGACTTCGACTCCGATTGAGACTCCTGCTCCGGTACCAGCTGAGACGCCTGTAGTTACTGAGACTTCTACTCCTGTTGTGCAAGCAACTGAGGATAAACCGGCCATTGAGACTCCGACTAATGAGGCTACGCCTGACGAGGCGCAGAAGACTACTGAGGAGAAGCAGCGTGATGCGACTCCGACTCCGCAGAATAAGCAAACGGAGAATTTTGGAGCGACTTCTGAGGGTGTTGTTTCGGGCAACAAGAAGACGGTTACTTTATATTTTAATAGAAACTTTAATCAGAAATAATTTTTAGGATGATAAGGTCAGTAGCAACAACGTTTCTGCAACTAAGGCCATGCCTACGCGTCAATATCTGGATGAGACTATTGTTCCGATTTTGCTTCAAGCTCTTAGCGGTATTAATTTTAGATCATTTTAACTTTGTTGGGATTGTTCCCTTTGTTCTGTCCTAGACAGTCTTTATAGTTATGGGGGTAATAGTTTCTTGAATCACTTGATTCCCTGGCTTCAACCTATTTGATTGGCCTTCAGCATTGGATTGGACAAATGCTTGGGAAACTTTTCGGTGTGTGTAGGGGATTCGGTTTTTAGCATTGTACTCGAAAAGTCTGTGTACCCTAGTCTTTATCTTATGTTTTAGACTTAAACCTTTGATTAACAATTCTATTCTCATTTTTCAGCTCTTGCAAAGGAGAGACCGGCCGAACCTATTGACTTTGTCGCCAACTATTTGCTGCGCGAGAAGAGCCGTTTCACCAACTCTTATTCTGCTGGTGACCACTGAATTGGTTTATTGAGACTATTGTTGGGAAGAATTTTCTGTTAACTTTGCTTTATATGTTGACCTAGAAACGATGCAAGTACTCTCTCATGATACAATTAAAACATATTTTTTTAAAGTTTAACTATTTTATATTTTATTTAAAGACTTTGCACGTTTATATATTTGTTGTTTTTTGATTATATGAGACATTTTTGGAAGTAAAGTTGAGGAAGATAAATAAATTTTTGGGTGGGATCAAATGTCACTTGGTCTAAAAATTTTTTTTTGGTAGCCTTGGCTTTGTTTTCATAAATTTAACTGGTATAAGTTATTTCCATAAATGTGTCTTATTTTCTAATTTTTGGATAAATTCTTGGACTTTTCCTTTGCTTTTTATTTTAAAAAATTCGCGTTGATCGAGTTATTTATTTCTTCCTATTTTGTTTCATTTTAATCATTTTTTAATCATATTTCGAAACAAATGGTTAAGCTATTCATTGGAAATTTGCCAGAGAACATTGGTATTTGTTAAAATTTGATTAAACTTGTTTAATTCTCTCATTTAAGACTCCACTCGTTTAAGAAGTCTTTTTTCACCACACGTGAGGGTGCAGGAATGCGATGTTTTGAAGAATTTTGCTTTTGTGGTATACATTTCCTTTCATTTTTTTATTAACTTCGAATTCTTTATAGCATGTCGCTAATGAAAATGATGCCGATAAAGCAATCAAAAAATTTGATAAGTTCAGATTTATGGGCAGAGAACTTCATGTAGAGCGTTCAACTTCTCGTCTAAGAAAACAACCTGGAATGAGTGATAAATGTTTTACCTGTGGCGCTGAAGAACACAAAACCTCCCAATGTCCAGGAAATCCAAATAGGAAGCGAAACATGTTTGTTTATTTTAAATTTTGATGAATGGGATGAATTGTCCCTTTGATCGTTTTTGGGAGGATTTCGACTTTCTTGGGTCATTTTTGTAAAAATTTGGGGATTTTTCAATTTATTTTTAAGGAATTCAAATAACGGTGGACACAAATCTAATAAAAAGCCCAGACCATTAATGTTTGACAAGCCGCCTCTACGACAATTTCCTCGTCAGCCACCTTTGAATAATTTAAATTTCCCACCATTACAACACAACCAACAACATTTTCCACCATTAATGCATCAACAACCTCCATTACCACAACAATCTTTACAACAGCAACAACAATCCTGTTGGGGTTATAAAATGGGCAGTGGAGGTGGTGAAAATGATCCTGAATTGCCATGCCCTCACAATCCGTAAAAATTTTTAATTAATTTTATTTTGAGGGAAAGGGCTTTGCCTCTTTTAGAAATGAAACTTAATATTTAAGGGTTACTAGAGTTTATAGGAACTATGTGTGGGGAGTTCCGTCTACGAAATGGAAGCTTTTGGGGAATAACGTCATCCTTCCTCTTCTCTTTTGCTTACAATTTGCTTCCTGGATTTCCTTATAAAAGATGTTAGAAACGTCCCATTGTGATTGAGTCCTTAATCTTAACTAGAGTTGGCCGGTATCGGGATTCGACATAAAATCAGGATCGGAATTTGGAATAGAGATTCCGATCCCGGACAACCTTAATCTTAACCAACTAAATTTTTTCAAAAAAATTTCTTTTTAAGGGAACTTCAAAAACTTTACGAACAATACAAAGACTCGCGAACTCGTTATTTCTTTTATCGAGAACAATTATTAAAAGAATTGCGTTTACAACCACCCCAACAACAACAACAAATTTTACAAAATGACCAACACTCACAACCACCGCAAAATTTAAATAAAATTAGTGGAGGAACAGTTAATAATAATGATCAACAATCAGTTATACGTGTTGATTTGACACAACTTCTTCAACCAAAAAAGGAGCCTGATACATTGGTTTTTAATTTTGTTTTATCTTTTTTTGTTGTCTGAAAGGGGGGAGGGGATGGGTTTAAATAAAAGCCATTAATTGTGGTGAAGAAAATAAGAAAAAGTAAATGATTCTGGACCACCAGAATGAGGCGAAAAATGCGACGCCATTAAGAATAGTTTTCTGAATGCAACTTTATTTACCTTATTTTCAAACAGTTTCGCATTATTAAGTTTCACGAGAAAACAGATTTGTTCCATTTCAGCATCGCAGGCAAAATTTTTTGTGAGCAAAAGCGTAGCCTGATACAAATTAACTGTCCGGTGAATGCAGTATCAATACCTGCCCGGGGCTAAACTTTATCCCTCTCCCATACTTTTAGAAAGTATGGAAAAAGTGAAAATGGGGAAAGAATACGGCGAAACAACCAACGAGATCCGTTTTTAAAAACCTTAATCCCAATTTTGACATTGACTAGAAATTTTAATTTAATTTTCTAAAAATTAGCCACCATTACCAACATCATTATTTCAACAACAACCACCACCAACAGAACATAAACAACAACAAAAACAACAACATTATTTTAATATTCCCCCACAACAACAAAATCCATCAATTTTAACTAATCCCCCTCCATTACAAATAAATTCAATTTATTCAAATTCTTTACCTTCAATTACTTCAAATAGTAATTCACAACAACAATTATTAGAAAGTGGTGGAGTAGGAGGATTAAATTTTTCTGTTTCCGCTCCACAATCTTTTCAGTCCCAACAACCTGCGTGCGTTTATAAAAAATATACTAAATTTAATTGAGAAATTTTTTTAAAATATTTTATCGCGTTTAAAATAGATTATTTTTAAAAAAATTAAAAAGAGAAACTTTGGTTTTTACGAAATTTATTTTTTCATCCCTTCATTTTGCAATTTTTACTCTCGTCGTGAAAAAAATAAAAAAAATTTTTTGACGTATGCCTAAATTTCTAAAAAAATTTTTTTATAAAATTACAACGAGCACCACAGAATAAATTAAAAATATTCCAAAAATACCAAATTTAAATTTTTACGCGTTTTAAATTTTATAGAAAAATCCCAACATTTATTCGCGATTATTTAATTTTAAATCACTTTTTCTCATGTTTTTACAGTTATTTTTCGTCTGGAACAGAGCGCATAGGCGCACCGTCAACTTCAGGGTATTTACACAATTTTTATTGTTTCGTGCTTGTTCTTTTTCTTTAGCCTTTTTTCCGTTTATTTTAAGGTCTTGAAAACCTTAAAATTTGATTTCTAAACCTCGCGATCTTTCTTTCAAAATTTATTCCTTTTTTCGTAAAATCGCGCGTGTCGCGTCGTGATAATTACATATTTTTTCGCACACAGAAATTTTTTGATTTTTCTAAACTATCCGCGTCGTTTTCCTACTCGGAATTTTCTAAATTTTCGTGTCCTTTTAAATTTCGGTTTAATTCAAATCGAACGAGTGCGCGTCGTTTCTTTTAAATTTTTAAAATTTTCGAGAAATCAGTTCAATTTTTTAGTTACCAAAACACCTATAATGCATTACCAACAAATTATAATACAAATATTACAACAACAAATTTGTCAATGGGGCTAGCTGGACAGCAGCCACAACCTTCTAATTTAGCATCAACAATAAAGCAACCAACGCCGTTGGCATCGATTCAACCATTCCGTTTCAATTAAAATGGTAAAAAAAAGAGAAGAGGAAGAAACGATTTGTGAACAAATTAAAGATGATGAACTTAAAAAAACATAATCAGACTTAATCTAAAAATATTTGTGTATTTGGCGTTTTAATATTTCGAAAATAAACAAGTTTACGGAAATTTTTGGGTTTCCTTTCTTCAGACAGAACACATTTTAGAAAAATCCAATAAGTCAAAAGCAAAAAATCAAAGAAAAAATTTATACACAAAACCAAAAATAGTCAATGTCACGTTTCACTTATTACATTTGTGGCCCTAAAGAGGGCCGTTTGGGTTTGTTTTGGTGTTCACGTTCCAGTCCTTCACGTACGCTCGCCACGGATACGTCGGGCAAGTTGGATGTCTAAAAATTTTAAATTATTGAAACTGATTAAAAATTCTCAAAAACTCACCCTTAGGCATGATGGTCACACGTTTGGCGTGGATAGCACACAAGTTGGTATCCTCGAAAAGACCAACAAGATATGCCTCAGAAGCCTCTTGCAAAGCAAGAACAGCGCTAGATTGAAAGCGAAGATCGGTTTTGAAGTCTTGCGCAATTTCTCTGACCAGCCGTTGGAAAGGAAGTTTGCGGATGAGCAATTCGGTCGATTTTTGATAACGACGAATTTCACGCAAAGCTACAGTTCCTGAAAAAAGGATTTCAAAACTAATTAGAAAAAATAATTTCTTGCCTGGGCGGTAGCGGTGCGGCTTCTTCACACCTCCAGTTGCCGGTGCAGACTTGCGCGCAGCTTTGGTGGCAAGCTGCTTACGCGGTGCCTTTCCTCCGGTAGATTTACGAGCAGTTTGTTTGGTACGAGCCATTTTTGTTTTTAAAAGCTGTTGAAATTTTTGAGACGTTGAACACTTTACTTTTGAAAAGTGAGGGTCAGTTAGTTAAGAAAATGCTTTTATATCGCTGCAATTTGATGCAAAACACGCCTCCTAACAGAAAAAAGCGAAGCGAGTTTGCCCGCCAAAAACTTAAAAACCTCAAATCTGTGTAGTAGTTAGAGAAAAAGAAAGTAATAGACGCAGAAGTTTCCCGCCAAAAATTATTTTTTGTTAAGGAAGAAAAAGATGGAGAAATGAAAAGACTATAAGTTAGACGATTATAGTAAATATTTTGTTTCTCATACGCGTCGTTTCTGCGTCTTTTCTCAACAAAGCCCGCCCATCTTCTTTTCTTCTATTTAAGCTTTTTCCTTCTTGTCCACCTCACAGTTTCACTGTAAACAGCAAAATTAACAACAAGCTTTCTTTCAACTTTAACAACTCTCAAAACAATGTCAGGACGTGGTAAAGGAGGTAAAGCAAAGACCGGAGGAAAGGCGAAAACTCGATCTTCGCGTGCCGGACTTCAATTTCCTGTTGGACGTCTTCATCGCATTCTCCGCAAGGGACATTATGCTGAACGGATCGGCGCTGGCGCTCCTGTCTACATGGCCGCTGTTCTTGAATACTTGGCTGCCGAGGTTCTCGAATTAGCAGGCAATGCTGCGCGAGACAACAAGAAGACCCGAATCAATCCACGGCACTTGCAACTTGCCGTGCGAAATGACGAGGAACTTAACAAGGTTGGGAATTTCTGTTCACTTTCAAGTATTATTTTTTTAATTTTTAGTTGCTCTCTGGCGTGACCATCGCGCAAGGCGGAGTGCTTCCTAACATCCACGCCGTTCTGTTACCGAAGAAGACTGCAGGCGAGACTGCTTGAATTGCTGTGACTTCAAAAACCAAACCCAAACGGCCCTCTTTAGGGCCACAAATGTAATAAGTGAAATGAGACATTTACTATTTTTTGTGTAAATTTTGCATTTTATTAATTTTTGGAGTAATTTACTTAAAAATTTTTCTAATTTTTTTGTTGATTTCGTGGTTTTCCATCGTTTCTCGTCTGTTGAAAAACAAGATGAATTTTGAAGGCTTTTCTAGTTTGTGTTTTTATTATAAGAAAATTGTATACAAAATGGGATTGGTTGCTTCAAAATTATGAATTCTGATAAATTCATTTAGACTATGAGGTTTGTTAAAAATAAAATATTTAAAATTGTATAAATTTTCTAGTTAATTTCTTTTGTTCTAATTTCCCATTTTTTAAATACATATTTCTTAGTAGTTATACACTAAGGTTGTCGGATTCGAAAAAAAGACAGAATATCCGAAAATTTCCAACTAGTCGACACCTTACTATACACACGAATCATGTGACATGATTATTTATAGAGTAGTTTATTTCGTGTCGAATATCAAAGCATTGTCCACACCTCAATTTCGCTTAGGGTTCTTTTACTTTCGTTATCTTTTGTTAAATCCCTATGGCTATTGGGATCGAGATAAATATATTGAATATTAAAATGGGTAGCATAAATAGATTTTTTGTTATCTGTAGGTAAAAGAGTGTCGAATGGTATTTTACCTATCACCCAGTTTAAATTATAGAATAGCTTTTTCCAAATTTTCTGAAATATCTGAGATAACCTAGCCAAAAATGTTGCTGTTTTATCGTTAACATCGTTTTATGTGACGGCTCTTTATCGGCAAACTTTTTATTCTCAATGAGGTTGAGGATTGCGTTCGTAGCAACAATTCTTTCCAAAAACAAGCCAAGCTGTTTTGTTTTGCCCGCCAATTTTTAATATTTGCTCAAAGGAGAATAAAAAACAAAACCTTCCAAAAAGGAAAAGATCGTTTTATTCTCAAGGAGAAAAAGGAGAGTAGTGACAATAACTCTACATAAACCCAAGCCAACCGAAATATGTAGTTGATGAGTTAATAAAAGGAATTGAAATGAGAAAAAATAATCTGGGCCCGTAGAATAAATTCAAGGGTAAGGTTACCCGGATGCGGCAGCGCCGACTTGACCCTAGGCAAAGGGTTTGGCGCCGCTACCCGCTTCTCATTCTCCCTATTTATGAGAAAATTCATAACTTTTTTTAAAATGCAGATAAAAATTTTATTTTTTGGCCAAATTATAGATCGGAGTCTTATCTATGGATTACCAAAAAATTAAAAATTTTGACCGATTTTTTTAAAAGTTATGAATTTTCTAGCAAGGTACTACTTTTTCCTTAAAAAATGACTAAAAACGAGGTCCTTTTTGTTAAAAATTGTCATAAATTTATTTCCACAGAAAAAATTCTAAAACTTATATCAAAAAATAGAGCACATTCCAAAATATCTAAAAAAATTTAATTTATAATTTTTTCATCAAATTTCAAATTTTAAGGATTTTTTAAAGAAATTGTCTACCCTGCCCCTTAGCAGTGTAACAATTTTACCCTCCACTTCTACCGTATCCTTTTCCTCTTTCTTTTCTTCTCCATTTTTTCGGCGCAAGGATTTTTCTCTTCTTTTCGTTTTGTGGGGGAAAAGTTACTCGGGTAACCTAACCCCAAATTTATTCTACGGACCCGGATGAAAAAACTGTGTTTACGCTTTGAAATAATTCTAACAAAGTAAGAAGCCCCTCAATTAAATATTTTTCTTCGAAGACATAAAAAGCCAAGCCAAAGTTTTGATTCAGAATTAGTTAAAAAATGCTCATTAAAATTCAAAATAAACGTCCTTTAATGGAGTAACAAAATCCACATTTATAATCCACAAAAATCCTAAACATCTCATACTCTTTAACCCACTCTCAAGGAGATAAAAGTTGAAGGATCTTTGGGATTTAAGTAAATATCGAAGGATTTGGCAGAAAAAAGTCCCTCAACTATATAAAAACAATCAAAAAATTCTCAGTCACCGGGGGACATTTTGGGATTTGAAGGTTAGCAGTAAAGTATATCAGTCTAGGTTTGACGTAGATCGGAAAACAAATCCGTTTATTGTTTAAAGATGGAAAACGATAGAAAAATTATAAATTGTTGAAAATCAAATGTAAGAATTATTCTGGAATTTAAATTAACTAAAAGCATCTCAGTCTGAATTAAAGCTCGAATTTAACGCAAAACCCCAAACAAAAAAAGGATCAACCAAAGCCAAGCCAAAAGTTCTCAAATATTGAAACGTTCAGTGGAGGAACAAAGACTGTGTTGGAGCACATACCTTCCTAACATCGATCAGAAAAAATGCAGCATGATAAAACTGTTTCTAACGTTTCACAAAAATTATAAAAAAATATTTAAAGTCAAAAAAGAAAATTTTACACAAACAAATTAAATAGTCAATGTCTCGTTTCACTCATTAAATTTGTGGCCCTAAAGAGGGCCGTTTGGGTTTGTTTGTTGTTTTCACTGCATTTTGCCAGATGTTCTTTAACCACCAAATCCGTAAAGAGTACGTCCTTGGCGTTTCAACGCATAGACGACGTCCATGGCTGTGACAGTCTTTCTCTTGGCGTGTTGTCGCGGAAAAGGCAAAAAAGTAGATCCGCGAATATAAAAAAATGGCTGAGCTGTCGCGGAAAAGGGCAAATCCGCGAATAGTAAAAATTAAGCCTAGTAAAAACTCACACAATTTTTCAAGCAAAACAAATTGAAATTTTTTTTTTTTTTTTTAAAGCAATTAAAAATTTCCAACAAAATGTATTTAATCCAAAGCAGTAAAAAATCAGTTTTTAGCAAAAAGGTTGAAAAGCAAAAATTTAAGTAAAGTCCAGAGCAAAATTGTAGAATATTTTTAGAAGAGCAAAGGCTAAATCAGCAGCAAAAGAATATTTTATAAGGCAGAGCAAAGTAAAGTCGTACAAGTTAAAAGCAAAAGTATGAAGAATGAATAATGAAAAAAAGCAGATACATTCAGTTGAATAAAAAAGGGGAGGGATAAACATTTTAAATAAACAACCAATGGTCTAGGAAAGGAATTTTGTTTTTAAGTTTTTAAATGCAGGTGTCGTTGAAAAAGGAAAAAATTTAGAAATTAAAAATAAATTCTTTAATCTTTAAAGTCGTGAAACGACATTCCCCAGCAACGGAAACATTCCATTTCTTTTGTTCCAATAGTATTGTGTTGGTGCCAGTGGGCTAAATTGGTAGGGCAGTTGAGCAAGTTGGAAATTCTGTTGTGGCATGTTGGGATGGGGTTGAGGGAAGTGTTGGATGTGAGGTGGACGTGGCACATGAAGAGACATTAGTGGTTGAGGACGAACACCACCAGTCAAGTGTTGAGTTGAAGAACGGGCACGTATATGTGAATTAAAAAATGTGGGGTTTTTTGTGGCAAAAACATTTTTACCTTTATTAGCTAAATTTTTCTTCGCAGAAGAGTGTTTCTTCCTGAATTTGTTGTTGCAAAACGTTGGTTTAGTAGTTGTTGTTGTATTAATGGGTGGATGGTTTGTTGTTGTTGTTTTAATAATTGTTGGTGGGAGTGTGTAGTTAGCCGTGGGAGTTAATTTTGGTTGTTTCATTTTTGTTTTAGCTTGCACTTTCACTTTCTTTTTGTAGTTAGAGGAGGTTGGGGTGGCGGATTTCTTAGTATTGTAAGCGACACTGGCCCGAGGGTAAAGCAAATTTTTATGTATTTTTTCGTAATCGTGGTTGAAGTAAGAGTGTGATCTGTAAATTGTGTTGCATATGGGGGTTGGAGGATTTATTTGCAAGATATGGGCTGAGAATTCAGCTGCCCTTTTGGTTTCTACGATGGGATTTTTTGGGGGAGGCGAGAAATTTCTGTTTGCTTGGCAAGGGGTTATTTGTGCATTTATCGGTAGTATCGTGGGCTGAGGTGTGATTGAGTTACAGTAATGCCCGATAGTATTTGTTTGCTGATTAATTTCATAAGTTTTGGGTTGCTGGTGGGTATTGTTTTCATAGCAATTTCGGGATGCATAATTTGACGTGTGGATTTGGCTATTGCAAATATTTGTTTTTTGGCTGAATTTTGCGAGGATATTATAGCAAAGGGGACGAGGGTGCATTTTATTGCAATTTTTACATTGGGAAGGGTTAGGGCAATTTTTAAAAATATGATTGGGCTGCAGGCATCGGGTGCAGCGGTTTAATTCATTAAGTATAGCAATCCGGGAATTGTAATCCGGAAATTTTTTGCAGTAGGTGGTAATGTGGCTGGTGTCGTTGCAGAATAAGCAGGGGTGTTTAAAGCCAGAGTTTCTATAATTTTGTTGAACAGCCACTGCAGAAATGTTTAACGGGGGGACTGGTTGTAAATTTCTTGTTGGCAGTGGCCTGTTAAAAGGTAAATAATTTCGTTTACTTACGGGGGTGTCCAATCGAAGAGGAGGCAATTGCTGAACATTTCGACTTTGTGGAGTCGGGCTTGATGGGTGAATAGCATTAATTTCTTCTCTTCTTTTTCTAATATTTTTTAAGCATTCTTTTAAATCTTCTGTTGTCCAATTCCCGACGTGTTGTTCTTTTGTTTTGTAGACTTCTTCTAATACAAAATCAGGTAGTTTACATTCAATATCCATTAGAATTGAAGGATTATTAAAATCAGAATTATGTTGTCTAAATTGGATTAATATGGATTCTAGGTTGTCGGTAAGTGTAGCAAAATCTTCGTTGAAGTTTTCTCCCTTTCGAACGGTTGGGAGATTTCTAATTGCTTGGTAGAGGCTGCGAATAATTTCTTCTTTGTTGTCGAATTTATTTTTAAGAAGCTGAACGGCTTGGCCGTAAGAGTCGTCAGTAAGGGGTAGGGATTCGATTGTTGCGAGAGAAGGGCCAGCTAAGCAAGATTTTAAATACGAGAGTTTTACGGCGTCGGAAAGGGAAGAGATATTTCCTATAGCAGCGGAAAATTGATTCCAAAAGGAAAGAAAGTCGGCAGATTTGCCACTAAAAGAGGGAAGGTTCATTTTGGGTATATGAGCATGCGAGGAGGATTGAGTGGAAGAGGAGGGTAGCGCTCCTTCTAGTAAATGCTGCGAAGAGCGCAATTTTCGTTTGTATTGCTTCAATTTGTTGAGGGTTTCGATATAGGGGTATTGCGCATAAAATTGGTCATAAAATGAATTATCGGACAAACGTTCAGGTCCTGTCATGTTACTTCTGAGCGACATCCAATTACGGTGTGCTTGGGAAAGTTCATCAGCTATTTCGCATAAATTTTGGAACTCAAGATTTAGGTCTGCTAGGGAAGCTTGAATGGCAGCATAAAATTGGGCGTTTGATTGAGTGGGTCCTTTCAGGGGGACATTGAATGTTTTGGGAGCTGCAAGGAGTGTGTCTGCGTCCTCAAGCAAAGTAATGATTTCGGTGCGGTACCCAGAGGACATTTTATTTTCCCCGCTTCTTTTTAAATTATTTTTTTAGGAATTGGTGCGAGAGGTAAGTTAAACCTCACCGGCTGAGCTGTCGCGGAAAAGGCAAAAAAGTAGATCCGCGAATATAAAAAAATGGCTGAGCTGTCGCGGAAAAGGGCAAATCCGCGAATAGTAAAAATTAAGCCTAGTAAAAACTCACACAATTTTTCAAGCAAAACAAATTGAAATTTTTTTTTTTTTTTTTTAAAGCAATTAAAAATTTCCAACAAAATGTATTTAATCCAAAGCAGTAAAAAATCAGTTTTTAGCAAAAAGGTTGAAAAGCAAAAATTTAAGTAAAGTCCAGAGCAAAATTGTAGAATATTTTTAGAAGAGCAAAGGCTAAATCAGCAGCAAAAGAATATTTTATAAGGCAGAGCAAAGTAAAGTCGTACAAGTTAAAAGCAAAAGTATGAAGAATGAATAATGAAAAAAAGCAGATACATTCAGTTGAATAAAAAAGGGGAGGGATAAACATTTTAAATAAACAACCAATGGTCTAGGAAAGGAATTTTGTTTTTAAGTTTTTAAATGCAGGTGTCGTTGAAAAAGGAAAAAATTTAGAAATTAAAAATAAATTCTTTAATCTTTAAAGTCGTGAAACGACAGTGTTCGCAATAAGTTACCTGAGAAATAAAAAAGTCAAAATCAAAAAATTTGCTTAAAAAATCTTACCGCGTCGCGGATCACATTTTCAAGGAAGACTTTCAGAACACCTCGAGTCTCCTCGTAAATGAGTCCGGAAATACGTTTCACTCCACCACGTCGTGCCAATCGACGAATTGCCGGCTTGGTGATTCCTTGGATGTTATCCCGCAAGACTTTTCGGTGACGCTTTGCGCCTCCTTTTCCAAGTCCCTTTCCTCCTTTACCACGACCAGACATTTTTGTTGTTGAAAAGCGTTAAAATTTGAAGCAGCAAAATGGTTGTACAGAAAACTGTGTGGAATGCCGTTGTTTTTCGTCTTTTATATGAAATTTGAGGCGTCGCTTGTTTTTGGCGGGAAAAATGAGGGGCGTAAACCTAGTAGAAATAAGAGAAGAAGAAAGCAGAAAAGAGCACTATTGTTTATGAGAATTTATACGTGTCCGGACAAAATACCGAATCGTTAAAATATGGAATAGGCTAAAAAAGGGTTAAAATCTCGAATCGGGTAAAAATGGGTTAAAATCGCGAATAGGCTAAAAAGCGGTTAAAATATGGAATCGTTAAAATATGGAATGGTTAAAATATCGAATAGGGTAGAAAGGGGTTAAAATGTGGAATCGTTAAAATATCGAATTGATAAAATGTCGACACGGCCAAAATAGGTCAAAATGTCGAATTTTTTAAAAATGGCGCCAAAACCTAGAATCCGGGCGTTGCCGTAATAATTTAACCATTCCATATTATTCCGTTTCGCTAGTACGGTGCGGAATGCCGACCGATAAAATTTAAAAGCTGATCGGTATTTTTCGGTATTCTGTACCGTATACGGTACAGTTAAAAAATTCCGGGTTTTATTAGAAGCTAGGTTATGCTTGATTTCGATTATGCTTGATTTATCCGGTCCGGTTTTACTCGGTAAAATCAGTGAACTCAGGCCGAAAAGATTGCGACGGACTACGACATACGAAACTTATCAATCAAATTATCAACAATAGGTTGATAAGCTGATAAAATTATCAATAATCAACGTACGGCACTCATCTGACCCTTTTTAAAAGAATTCGACATTTTGACCTCTTTTTAGCCTATTCGAGATTTTAAACATTCCATATTTTTACGATTCCATATTTTAACCCTTTTTTACCCGATTCGATATTTTAACCATTCCATATTTTAACGATTCGGTATTTTAACCCCTTTTTAGCCTATTCGCGATTTTAACGATTCCATATTTTAACGATTCCATATTTTGTACCGGAGCCAATTTATAAGGAAAAAGAGAAATATGGCTTGCATTATCGTCATGTAACTCTCTCATTTTTATCATCCTCTCTCTCTTTATTTTTCTCTATTTACTTAATAAATAAAAAGTCAGACATTAAATATCAATAATTTCTATAGTCTCTAACTCTTTCGCAATTGCAGAGGAGGCGGACCTTCTCTCTTTGTATAAAAGTCTTAGGTTGACGATTCTTCTTCACTTTTCAACCGCTTTTAAAAACAACGTTCATCCAACACAACAACTTTTAACGGAAATGGCACCTCCAAAACCTTCTGGTAAAGGAGCGAAGAAAGCTGTCAAATCAACGAAAGCTGTGCGCACTGGAGACAAGAAGAGAAAGAAGTCGCGAAAGGAGTCTTACTCGGTCTACATCTACCGAGTTTTGAAACAAGTCCATCCGGACACTGGAATCTCCTCAAAGGCGATGAGCATTATGAACTCGTAATAATTTTGTTTTTACTTTCAATATCAGAATTCTTATTTTAAGGTTCGTCAACGACGTGTTCGAGCGAATTGCTGCTGAGGCTTCACGACTTGCGCACTACAACAAGCGCTCTACCATCTCTTCGCGGGAAGTGCAAACTGCTGTTCGTCTGATCCTGCCTGGCGAGCTTGCTAAGCACGCCGTTTCGGAAGGAACCAAGGCGGTGACGAAGTATACTTCGTCCAAATAAATGGCTCAACATCGCCAAACAACAAACAAACCCAAACGGCCCTCTTTAGGGCCACAAATTTAATGAGTGAAACGAGACATTGACTATTTAGTTTATTTTTCTGATAAAATGTATATACTTTTGTTTTTTTCTAACGATTATTTCTCTGTTATTTGTGTTTCGAGGTTTTCTTGTGTGATAGGAATATAAGCTTTCCCGGGTGTTTGGAAAAGTTTTGATTTTAAGGCAGTGTCTGCGGCTAAAAGCTAACTTGCTGGACTACGTAATTTATGGGGGAAGAGATGTGGAAATCCTGATGACTTTAACAAGATTTGTTAATGGCTTTCTGTTCAAACCTGGCATGTTAGGAAATTGGGAGTGGAGAACGTCAAAAATTGTATTTAGGATTAGGGTTGCCGTTTTCGAGTCGGGCCGACGGTCGAGGCATTTTTTTTCGGGCTTGTTTTTATCGAGTCGGGCCGGTACGAGTCTTTTTCGGGCCTTACTTTATCGAGTCGGGCCGATACGAGTCTTTTTCGGGCCTAACTTTATCGAGTCGGGCCGGAACGAGTCACTTTCGGGCCTGACTTTATCGAGTCGGGCATCGAGACATTTTCGAGTCTTTTTTAAAAGATTTATTTAAAAATAATTAGTGGATTTGGAGGGATATCTGTGAATTAAAAGGTATATCGATGGATCTGGAGGGTAAAGGAAGGGCTGAAGAGAATTTAAATGGATATCAGTGGATTTGAGGGATTAAGGTGATTTAAATTATCGGAGGATTGGTGTGAGATATTGCTAGATTTGGTTTTATTAAAGGAGATCAGATGATTAAGGGGATCTGGATCGCGTTAATTATATTGTGCGTTAATCACCAAACCCCTTAATAAAATCCCAGTGTACCATGATTGGTCTATTCGTATTTAGATAAGGGCTTACTGGAAAGTCAGGAAACCAGATTTCTTCTATTTTTAGCGCCGCAGGCGAAAATTTTGAGAATTTTGGACTCCCTGGATACGCCCTTAACTTAATCTCTCAAACCGCCTTATATTCCCAGATTACACCTTATATCCCGGATGGTGGACTGCGGATTGCGTAAGATTGTGTTTTTGACTTGTGGACTGAAGATTACGACTGCGTATTTTAAAGTAGAGTTCGAACTTTTCAAAATGCCGGGCCCGGAACCCGGTTTTATTTTCACAAAATCGCACCCGGACCGGTTTTTCCGGATAAAACCGGAAAAACCGGTTGGTTTTTCCGGATAAAACCGGAAAAACCGGTTAGCCCGGAAAAACCGGATTTTTTCAGACCCGGGCCCGGACCCGGTTTTTTCTAAATTTATTAAAAACATAAAAAAATTATTTATTTAATCAAAAAATCCTTAACTCATCAATCATTAACTCATCTACATGGCCAAAAAGGGTCAACTCATCCAATACTTAAAATATCGAGTCCTTACTAGAGCACGGGACGGGACTAGGGCTGATCGAAATAAAAAAATTTTTATTAAAAGATATCTTCTATATCCCGGATAAAAGAGATATCTTCTATATCCCTTGAGATTTCTTCTATTTCACTTCTATATCCCCCTTTCAAAACCACAGGTATTTACTTAATCCATAAAATCTAAATATACACAAATTCGCTGATATCGCTTATAATCACCTAAATCCCACTATATCTCTTTAATCATTTCAAATTTGCCTCTCTCTAGATCCCCTAAAGTCCTATTATGCAACCTAACTTGTCTCTCTACAATTTACCCATTAATCCCTTTAAATTGACATATATCTTAATCTTAATTTGGAGTAATTTTAGCCTTAATCCAATTTGGATACAACTTTAGCATATTATAATCTGGGTTTCAAAAATTTTTAATATTTTTAAATCACAAATATAAAGATTTACGACTATGGTAGGTTGGGCGACAGAAGGCTGGTCTACTCACTCAAAACCCGAAAAGGGCCGCATGCGAAAATTTTTTGAATTTTGGAGCTCAAAAAGCCAAATTTTTTCCATTTTCAGCGCCGCAGGCGAAAATTTTGGGAAATTTCGGGGTCCTTAAGACATATTTCTTCTTCGTCAAAAAGACTTCGGGCCCGGCAAAAAATTACCGGGCCCGGGACCCGGTTTTTTTACTCAAAATCGCACCCGGGCCGGTTTCGGGTTCGAACTCTATTTTAAAGTTAAAATTGTTGACTGCGGAAAATTGTGGACTCTCAAAACTGATTGAGTTTAAAAAGTTCAAATGATGATGGGATCCCGCGGAATATATCCTATAAATCCCAGTAATCCAGCTTATCGATTAAAACCAGTAAGTTCGAGATGTGAAGCAAAGTATGGAGCTAAAAATTTTTCATTTCAGCGCCGCAGGCAAAAATTTTGAGATATTCGGAAGGCTAAGGAACAAATTTCTTCCTATTTCAGCGCCGCAGGCGAAAATTTTTCGAATTTTGGAAGGCCAAGAAGCCTGATTTCTCCCATTTTTGTCCACAAATCTGGTAAAAATATTATCGAGTCTTGTTCGAGTCGGGCCGACTTTTTCCGAGACAATTTTTTTCGGGCCTGTTTTTATCGAGTCGGGCCGGTACGAGTCACTTTCGGGCCTAACTTTATCGAGTCGGGCCGTTACGAGTCTTTTTCGGGCCCAACTTTATCGAGTCGGGCCGGTACGAGACTTTTTCGGGCCAAACATCGAGGCATGACTCGATCTTTCGGTCCGAGTCGGTCCATTTTGGCAACCCTATTTAGGATTCACTATGGTTCCCATTTGCTTTTAATTTTAATTTCAAGTAACAGAAATTGCCTTTTTTATTTCGAGAAAAATTTTATTTTTAAATAATTTATAAATAAGCTACAATTGAAAGTGAAATGTTTCCTTTGTGATTTGTACAATTTTTGATATAAAAATGTGTTTCAAATATTGAATAAAATATGTGTATTTAAAATAGGAATAATCTCAAAATTTCAATCTTTTATTCATTTAATCTCCTCATTTTTTCAGAGTAAATTTTTGTAAAGTAACATCACCAACCACAGTTACACGGTTAACTTGTGTAGGTACAGGACCGGGAGAACGATAATAAAATTCACAAAAATGGCAGCCATCAATTAATACTTTGAGTGATTCTAAACAAGCAATAATTCTTATATCGGCTGTACTTCCGGGTGAAAATGGGAAACGGCCCATTTGGCGTTCTTCTTTTTGCCATAAACCTCCTTGTGAAGTGTTATTTCGAACAACGGAGCCCTTGAATGAAAAATTATTAAAACTGAAGATGGGAAGGGATGGTGGGATAGG